TTATTTGTCCCTTTTGCAAAGCTCATAGGCATTTTAAAAATAATTTTCAAAAGTACACTCACATTTTCCTTCTTTGTTCTTCAGACCAACTGGAAACCTTGAAACAATGGTCGATGAAGCAGAGCCATTATGTGCATTAATTTTCCAAAAGCTCTAATATGATTGTTTACAACCAGAAACTGCCTAATCTAGGGGGAGTATTAGGCAGGAACAGCTGACGAGTCCTAAGTAAGATGAAAATAGCTTCATGCATTCCTCATATAAGTAAAAACGTGCAACAAAAGGGTAATATCGAGGCATCCTGCCCAGGATGCACATATGGTATTGAGAACCGATTAGTTGAAATTCAAAATATCAACAACAAGAGAAAGTGAGTCCTCTCAGGCTTATAAAGTTTGTTAACCGAAAGCTAACTTGTTGAATTTAAACTTTCTGCTGATTACGTCTTGGGGTCCACATGACCTTAGAAGAATGAATTCCATGTATGACTAATTTGCCCACACTAATAACGAGTATCATTCGGTAATTAATTGACTTGGTGAAGTTTCTTTCATGGATATCTAAGAAAGGCTACAAAGTAAAATTTTGCGAAAGGGATTAGAGCAGAAGGCTTCTTCTACCCTAAATATCCTATCCAGGAGTCGGACGTTGGTTTACCTAGACATGTAAAGAAAAGTATCATTCCACTTAATCATCATTACCTTATTCTTTATTTGTCTTTGAGTCATTATCTAGAAAACAATGTTCGGTATATTCATATGCGTCTTATATCGCTCGTCCTGATAACCGTGATTAGATAACTTTCAGTGGTGTATATGAGTTTTAGAGGATAATATGGAGTGTTGATTGTAGTTTTGGACCTAACACATTCTCTTTCACTTCCCACTAGATCGGGACGTCTTAGATGACATAGTAGGCAAGCAGAAAAGCCAAAAGTGAACAAACGTACTCGTGGCATACATGTTTTCACACAGAGTCATCAGTTCCTGGAACCTCTTACCCGAGGCAATGGTGTCCACATATTCAACTGACTCATTCAAGAAAAGACTAGACACTCAGAGAAGCATACTAGAAAAGCAACAGCATGGGCCGTAGGCACTCTGTCCCTACTACACAAATCTGAGTCTGTTTATTATTGTTCAGCACTGATCAAAATGCCACAAGTTCACAGAACAAATACTTATAACTCTAAAATCTATGGTTTGCAGATGAGATCTGAATTGTCAAAAATGTTCTTCGAACAGAAACGAATAGATGTGGTCATCACAAGTGCCTAAGTGAGATATGTGAGAGAAGCAACTAGGTACGACTCGGACTCCGAATCATCCTTACTGAATGTCATATTGAGTCATTATGAAGATGACATCACAAACCTCGATTACATGCCACCCAAAGATAAAAGTGATCATTCAGTTCTATTATTTGATTTACATATAGTTGTCCATAACGAGCATGTGCCAGCCCAACCCAGACCCAATGTCTGGAAAGCAAATATGCAAGATACTGTACACTCAGTATCCTCAGCAGCTTGGTCAATAGATCCAGCGTCCATCATTGAAACAGAGTGAGATGTATTCAGAAATTTGTACATAAAAGTCGCTGCACTGCACATCCCTTAAACTGCACCAAGGGGTACGAGAAACTTCTCGCTATGGTTCAGCGAAGAGGTTTTCACCCTGCTCTGTAAAAGGAGGAGGAAGGAAAGATTTATGTTACTGGGTACTGACGAGAGAAATTCTCAATATCGGGAAGCTCGAGATAATTGTCGATAAACTTTCTGTTAGACTGAAAAGGTTTTAAAATACAATGAGCTTAAGATTGCAGAAATTTCGTAGCTTAAAGTCACGTTACATTTCTGGAATACTGTCTTTGATTTTGGGCAGTGGAACAAGAAAATGGGAAATTAGACAAGTGGTAGTAGAAAAAAAGGATACTGAGTGATAGTCCATCGTTTAAAATAGATTAAGATGTTCAAGGAGTAAACAAGATGAAGAATCAAGTATAGATAACTACTCAGTCTCTGCTTACATTGCTAACCAGTGTGAATTTTAGTCAAGTAAAGGCCACGTTTGCTAGTGGTTTGTGTTTTAACAAACCTAAAGGTTGTTGATGAATCCTAATAACTAAACATGAATATAGATGATCAATTATTACCATCGACTGAACTATTAAATTATGAGTACTAATTAGTATTACAATACAGTAATGAATGTGAGCATGACTCAACAGACTATTAGAGTAGTGGGTTAACCTGAGTAGAAATCGATAGATTAGGTTTAAGGGAAAATGAGGATTAATAAGTGGCTGCGTCTTTTTAGTCAGTTTTACCCTTCCCTTCAGTTCATATAAACCTTCCACAACATACACTGAACACCGTAGCCATTAAAGAACATCATGTCTTCGTTCTGCTAAATGAGTTTTTGTGATACTTAGAAGTTAAAATGGTTCAAATGGTTGTGGACGGAATAGAAGAAGCTTTCGCTTAACAGGCTTCCGTGTCTAGTAGCAGGGGATCACTAAATCCTCCAGGCAGGAACCTAGGTATGTTAACAATGAAAGAGGAAAAGAAATTGGTAAATCATAGTGTGATACTATCCTTAGTCCTTAAGAACAGATCAAGTTGCTTCTTAAAGGACTCCTGGGAAGTTGCTTGGACTAGCTCGCTCGGCAGCGAATTCCATCATTTGACGACTCTTAAGGAGTAGAAGTTGTGTCCACAGTCCGTTCTGCTATGTTGTGTCTCCAAATTTTGGGTGTTACCTCTTAGATTAGTGTTGGAACTAAGCTTAAGTAGGTGTTTAAGAGGATGTCCAGAAGTGTTAAGGATACTATAAGCCATCAGAAGATCACCTCTAAGACGTCTATACTCTAATGGGTATAGGTTAAGTGAATAAAGGCGCTCTTCGTAAGGTTTGAATTTGGGCCCTCGGACTGATTTCCTGGCTCGCCGTTGGATACGCTCCGGGGTGTCCTTATCCTTTTGGAGTGAGGGGGGAAATACTATGTTTCCGTACTCTAAATGGGGACGGATACAACTAATGAAGATTATATGGAAAGTTCTTCCGTCAAACTGGCCAAAAATGCGTTTCAATGTTACCAGTGCAAGTTGTGCTTGGAAGGCATTTTTATCACAAGCAGCATAAGACTTTAAATCGTGGGGCACTAGGACTCCTAAATCTTTTTCGACTTGGGATACTACTAGAGAGGAGTTTCCTAAGTTATAACTGTATTCTGCGACATGTCGCAGATGGACTACTTTACACTTTGAAGTGTTAAAGGTAAGTCCGTTGTCATCTGCCCAACCTTGAAGTCGAGTCAGATCCTCCTGAAGTGCCTGTATATCGTCTTGGTTGCGTATCTCTCTCCAAAGTTTCACGCCATCGGCAAAAAGTAATAAGTCTGACGTTACCTGTTGAGGAAGATCATTTATGTAGATCAAGAAGAGAAAAAGTCCTAGTGCTGAGCCCTGGGGGAACCCACTAGGACATTCCATAGCCTGAGATAAGGTGAAATTAACCCTGACCTTAAAATGCCGATTTTTCAGGTATGAAGTGAGCCAGTCGATTAGAGGTGGTCTGATACCCAATCGTTTGAGCTTATTGATAAGACATGTATGGTTAACCTTACCAAAAGCTTTTGAGAAATCTAGGTAGATGATATCAACCTTTCCCTTGTGATCAAGGATGCTTGTCCATCTGTCCACCGCAGTCAGCAGGTTGGTAATACATGAGTAACCCTTCCTGAAACCATGCTGTTGGGGTAAGAAGAAATTTAAGGACAATAAATAGTCATTTATACCATCGCACATCAGGGATTCCATGATTTTTGAAGGTATTGAGAGAAGAGCCACCGTTCGCTAACTTGAAGGTTAGCTGCGTCGACCTCCTTTGAAAATTAGTGTGATGTGAGCCAGCCTCCAATTTTTCGGTAGTTTTCCTCGACTTAACGAGTGTGAGAACATCACGCTAAGCGGCGAATTATTATACAAACTTAACAAGTTCGGTATTACAATGTTAAGCACTACTTGCAACGAAATGACTAGTAGTTTTATAAACTGACAGAATACGTCCAATTTTACTGCACTTAGCATTGAGAAATATACATGAATAGCATGAGTGAAATATACCACAGGGCAAACACCTACCAAACTTGTGCTCATTCTCATGAACTGCTTCTCAACTTCCCAATTAACCATTATCCGTATAACCTTGGGTATATATTGAATTGAGATGATGTAGTAAATCAGTGGAATTCTTAATGTCCTGACGAACCACTTTCCTCCTTTACAGCATTTGAAACAGTAGTTGCATGAGAGTTTCATAAAGAAGATAGACTATTCTGGAGATGTTAAAGCTTATAATAAGTCGTAGGCTAATTTCCGATGAATTTGGGGAAATGAGCCACAATATTAACATCCACGATATCTCCCTTGGCCATAGTTATCAGCATTTGAAGGTATGTTCAATTTTTTCATCACAGAGCATGGCGTCCCCACTCGTGATCTGGCGCGGATTCGTGACCGAGCGAGTCCATTAAAACTAATGCGGTCAGCATCCAACGTCGAAGACTTACAGAGCTATTTATTTTGGGGATTTATTGTCTTATAGAAGAACCAGAAGCTATTTGATCAGTTTCTATATTACTTTGTGAATAACTCGCACCCAACATGCCCTCATTTTTCTTGTCTTCCGAAGCAGATAGTTTACGAGGACATTCCGAAAAATGTTCACAAACACAGGACAAATAAATTGTAAGCTAACTATCGACTTTCAAATCGAATCATCAGCGAATAGGATTCAATATCTGAGCCCGTGGTTAGATCTACATCTGCCGACCCTTTCAAACAATTTTGATCAACTGAGGGACCACCATTTCTAGGAATAACACAGACTATCTAACTTCTTGTCTTTTCTAAGCTGAAACCGATATTGGTAATTGTACGAGTGGAGTTAAACAGTCTGGGTTACGCACTTTCGAATTATATTTTCGGCGGGTAGTCAGTAAGTTTTTGTGTATGTATAGCGTTTCGTTCAGATTTGTGTAGTAAGGACAGACCTCTAAACTAGTTTTCTGTGCATGGTATAGTAGTTAGCCTATCGCTCATCAGCTGTTGAAGCCTTTAGGTCGAGTACAGCGAATCTTTTTTTGTTATCTAGGATGTATTATATAGACCCAAACATTCTGAAAACCATGAAACTGGCAAATAACTTTTAATTTGAGAGACTTAAGGTTTTACCTGCGCTTATTTCTTAGTCACGTTGACAGTACTGCGTAGATATGCAATCTGATGCAACAATAACAACATAATAAGATATAAATGACCTTTGTTATTGAATTTCTGACCGATTTATTGGTTGAATCGATACTTTTAATTGAAAAGCTGTAGTTAGCTGGAAGCTAATTGAGCCGAAAATTTATACGCATTTCAACAGGGAATTTATGTATATACCATGTCCACTGCTTTGTGAATAGTAGTATGGGAACAAGTTAAACAATGGTAACATAACAATTGTGATATAGACATTATTCACACATGCATCCGCATCAATACGCAATACTTCACTTCTCCCCACTTCTTAAACTTGTTTCCAGCAATTGTCGTAGCTACCATTTTAATAACAATTAGAACTAGTATTCACGCTATTACTAGTTCAGATTCAAGTCACAACCAGTGGTAATCTGTTGTACACAATGATGTCTGTATTTGTGCAGGAAAGGTGTGTACTTAAATGCTTTGGGTACGTAATTTGGTATCACAAAACAATTACTACTTTTTAGGTATTTATAGACATACCCTCAAAACTTTCGTCTGGAAAGAAAACTACAGTTATTATGGTGTCAGCTCCTAAGGCTAAGTGAATTTCGCGCGGGAATGCCAAAAGGCGCCGTCTGATTTGTTCGTTCATTAAATGTAGTGTCACTAGGTTAAGATTTGTTTCAGGATTGAGGGTTTGGGGTCGGAAGCTGTGTACAGCTTCAAAGACTAGATGCTTGTATAATAAGTTTAATACTACCACTTACTCTATGGTGTCAATGATGAACTTTTCACTACCGTTTCGAATGTTTTGAGCAGTATACAAAGGTTTTCCTATATCTCGCTATACTATAATGTCTAACCTTTAGCAGGTTGACGTCCAGCTTGAAGGTATCTTGTGTACTGAGGGGGGGTATTATGAGTACAAGAGAATCGGAAGACGAAAAAAGGGAAGAGTAAAAGGATGATTTAATAAGCACGTCGATAATACTTATCTTTCATGATGAAAGTGATTGAAAACAATTGGCAATAACACAAGCGTAAGATTAAGATAATCTAATAATCGAGACCAGACGTTGGTGTCGTAAGGTTTCGAATGCGTTACAAAACGTGGTGTTTAAATTTGGTGCAGAAAATTTAAATTTGCCATTCTAATTCTGATTAGCTCGTTCCCATACCATACTTTTACCCTCAGCTTTAAGCCATATTTATGTAAGCAATAGTGATACAGTTCAACTACTCAATTTGCTTCACTTATCTCCACAATCAAACAAACTAGTGCTAACACTGGGCGAAAAAGAAGTTCCTTGAGATTCAAATAAGTCACGCACGTCATCATCAACTAGACTCTATAACCGTAGAGAACACTAACAATATTGATCGGCCCAGTGGTTGCAGGATCATTGTGTTGGCTTCATTTCAAAGACTGGATCAAAGTATCAATTTTCGCTTATTTGAAACCGTGGCGTTGCCAAAGGGATGCAAAAGTATTACACAAAGGCATGTTACCGGAAATGAGGTCACTTATCTCAGGACGATAGAGTTAATCATACCCAGGCCAGTAGATGTATTTTCCAGGTGCTTCGGTTTATGGCACCCCAGTCCAATACTTTGGTCAACTTCTGAGATTCCTGTTGAGCCTTGTTGCCGTCGTTTTTATAAGTTTTGGTCGATAGTTTTCACGTTTACAAATACTAGTTAGTCAGGAACTCTTCACCGATTTACTTGTTAGTGTTATCCAATGCTGTCTTGTAGAATCACAACTTAAGTTGATTGACGTACTTTGGCTCGAAATTTGATTCTTATGACGTGATATTTTTGAGATCCCGATAACTTAATTTTATTTAAATCACTTAACCGATTTCTTTTGTCTATCCGTTAATAATGTAAAAAAGTTCAACAGGTACGTCCGAAATTTTTGACAAGTATATGATATTATCGTTACACTAATTCTGTATTGATCACTTCATGTTCAAATACAACCACACAAATCAAAGGGATACCAGTTTTTTCTTTCCACTTTTAGAGGTGCAAACCACTTATTCTTCAGGAATATAAGATCGAGATAATAAAGAAAGCTCACTAAATTAAACTTTGAATATATTAGAACCTAGGAGATACCCCTACGGATACTCTCATCCATACACTCAGTTTGAGATATATTGGATATATTAGACATGCAACGTTTGTTAACCTACATCCCTCAAAATTTGAAGGTGGTGCTCAAAGACCCAATGACGTTCCTGAAACCTTTGTCTATTGGGTAAGTGCAATTACCTTGGGACTTTCTCTGGCTTTACGAAATAAAATCAGTTATTCATTCAATACCTGTAATATATGAGATTTCGTTCAAAATCTAGCTAGCTTGACCACATGGCTTAATTATTCTTGTACCATAAAAACTTGGTTGTCTGATACGGATTAGTGCCTGGTTTCCCCTTCGTTTTTAGCTTTAAGTTTTTATTGCCACAATTCAGACTACTAAACGATATCAGTTCTGTACATAGGGCCTAAATCAATTCTAAGACCACATATCGTAAAATTATGGTTCATTATAAGTGATACTGAAATCCCACTATATGGGGAGTCGTAGTATATACACATTTGTCGACTCATACAGGAAATTTGAAGATAATTAGATAGTAGTTGTAACTAATGACTATTATTCAGTAGAAGGTTTATTTTTATCTGAGGGATTCGCAAATTGTATATTTTATTTCATTGATATCATTCATTGTACAGTTGTATACAGTAGTCACCTACAAATCTCTGGTAGTTCGAGAAGTCTCAGATCTTTTAATCTTTTTCGATTCCACAGCCGTAATGTATACTTGGGTGCCAGCCTTATATCTCATGTACCAAAACGAACAGTGAAAATATATACTAGGACAGGTGACAATGGGACAAGTAGTTTGTTTACTGGTGAACGTCGTCCCAAAAATGATCCTGTGTTCGATGCTCTTGGGACAGTTGATGAACTTGCATGTTGCATAGGCTTGGCGTCAGCTCATATTCTTGGTCATATATCCAGACAGCTCCCCGAATATGACGTCCTAACTGTTCTAAAACAATTAGAGCAAATACAATGTCGTTTACTGGGCATGTCATCTTCAATAGCCACACCTCTTCCTCGTCCTGAAAACCAAACTGATATTTCGGAGCGTCCAAAGCGGTATAAGCGTGTGGCTTTTCCAGAGGATGTTTCAGTTGAACTAGAGCAATGGATTGACAATTTGGCAAATGCTTTGCCGCCTCTAAAGGTCTTCATATTACCGTCGGGTGGAACTCCCGGAAGTTCCCTACAACTTGCGAGAGCTGTTTGCAGACGAGCTGAACGGTGTGTTATCAGCATGAACCTTCAACACGAATATCCTGTTGTCGAAGAAAGTGTAGTAAAGTACCTGAATCGTCTGAGTGATTATCTGTTTACTGCTGCACGATATATTACCAATGGCTTAGGATTTACTGAAAAAACATTTTTGTTACCTAACACAAAATTTAAAAAATAACTGCTTTAAACGCTATTTAGTACAGTATTCTTTAGACTCACCCATTTTTGACTACTTTTAGGTGTATTCGTATGTATCCTGGTGACGAATTGGGACGAGGTGCAGGCAAGGTGTTTAATTAATTTTCACAATTTTTCTAATTTAATTTTTACTTTATGCTCTTTAAATAATCTTTTTTATGTGAATTAGTTTATTTATAACTTCAGTAGTGGTTAATGCTTTTGTAAATCATTAATCAATATAAAATTGTTACTTGTTATCTACTAGTGTATGCCCATTTTTTTATTATCTTGACTACTTAAAATTTGTCCTCATCTTTTGAAAATTATAATACATGTTTATTGAAATGTTATATATGCATTTCTGCATATTTAGTTGATATGTCCATACTCTTAATTATATAATCTCCTTTAAGCCAGTCTAACCTTATTTTGGACAATGTTTATCTGACCACTACCCCCTACTTCGACGAGCAATTTTAGCCGGTCTGTGAACAGATTGAAAGAAAGATAGGGGCGACCAAACCAAAAATACATCAGTTCATGTTCATCAGCATATGTTCGAGACCGAAGGTTTTGAGTTTGGTCCCCAGATCTGCTGAGGATCCCCGTGCTAGGACGAAACAGCTGTATAGTCCTCCCAGTTTTTCGATGGTTGTTTAACAGATCTGTTTGTTATCTCAAAATTCAACAGCCTCTACAACCCCTATACTGATTGTTCCGATATTCCTTTATTGTTGGTCTGAGCCGCTTATGTAGAAAAGCAGATGATATGGTTGAGATCCATACGATAATCCCGTTTTTATTTATTTTAACATACAGATATTGGTACAAGAAGGCACCAAATACGTATGCGCCACACAAATCTCATTCGATATGTGTGAGGGCTGTGATACTGCCCGGATGCCTAAACCGAAGCAGGTGGTTTTCTTAGGGGGTCACTCCCCGAGCCTTCGACCTGAAGGTCTGATCCACAAGGCAGTGGAGCATCGTAAGGAGATGCAGTCCCATGGAAGCCGGTGACCGACGATTGGTCCATACTCCATTTGTTCCTTCAGGATACTGGAGCCCATGTGCACCATTGGTTTAGAATCCGATTAAAGCGCCGGACATTCGCTTTTCGTCCTCTCATTTTTGTAAACGACACCCCCTCCACGAGAAGGCAGTGAGTAGGACTTCCCTGGCAGAGGCTATATACTCGTGGCCATGTGAAAGCATTTCAAGAGGGAGAGCTGACTCTCTCCATTCTCTGCCGTACCAGGCTACAGATTTTGAGTGACGTGGCTCAAGATGGCTCAGGTGCTTTTACTTTTTACCTTCCTCTCTATCTTTATTTCCATTATTCTTTTGTACATACCTTCTGACTGTCTTTTCTAATTATAGTGTTAACGTCCAGTCATTGTCAACGTAATTGCTACTACATTATTTTGATTCCTTTATTATTTGTTTCGTCATGATAATGTAGTAAGTGAACTTGAGCTAACGAATATAGTTATCCCAGGTTGTGTGCTGGTTATGACTGACTAACTGGGCAATATTATTAGACCCCATAAAACCAGTGTGACCAAAAGAATATTGCATAAACCTGTACTTGATAATGGGATTGCATCAAGCTAATTGTGCAGCTGGTTTATTTCCCATAGTTTTTGTGATAGAAGATATTAGATTGGTATAGCCTGGTTTACACCGTTTTTCATTCAGCCACAAAGTTACTTTGGTTTAGGGAACTACACATTACTAGTCTCTTTTCAAGTTCTGCAATTAATAGTATTCAGTTTATAGTGTCTATCTAGTGTTCGACTTTCAGCTGCTACGTTTGAGTTTCGAAACCCCGTCTCATCTGCTTAAGGTTGAACATCTGGATGGTATCGCTAGCCCTTGTACGTGAAGTATGGCTCAAAGCAAAGTAAAAGATTATATGAATTGGAGTTGTAATATATTGTTTTCGGTAGCATGTTTAAAGTAGCCAGTGTATTGTATTAGATAGAACCTAAGAGTTAAATAGTAGGGGATAGTGATGATAGTCGACTGTACTGTTGATTCACATAAATTAAGTGGTTATCTTTAATAATTTGGTACTGCTGTTAGCTATTCGTTGTTATTTTAACATTAAGTTCAGTGGTTGACGCATCATACGGATTCAGATTTCACCAATATTGAATATACGATCACGTTACAACTAATCGATTATCCGATGATAACCAATATAACAGCTTTGTATTAAATTTTAAATTTAAACTTGATATGATCACAGTTAGGTAATACCATATGACGTCAGTGTTTTTCAAATACGGCAGACTCTTGTTTCTTGATTGTTTTTGGTTTCATGTATCTGCATGGACGTCTGAGGATGCTCAAACTTGGTTTAATTTAACTTGCTACAATCGGATACTAAAAGTATGCGTCACTCAAATCATATTTGTGTACTGATTGGAATACTGCCGGGAGGTCAAACCGAGGTGGTTGGTTTCCCTAGGAGACCACTCCACAAGTCAGTAGAGCAATTTTAGATACCTAAGTAGCCGGTGACTCCAATATGCTCTTACAACATTCATTTTCTCAAGATCATAGGATCTCATATACACCAATGATTTGTAGTCAATGTTTCCCGAATCCTCCAGTTGAGTCCTCCGTATCCACCAAGTTCGTTTAAGCACCATACGTTCGCTTTTTGTCGTTTCATTTCCGTAAGCACCTTCATCAAGTGAAGTCAGTGAATTGTACTTACTCGACCATGGATTGTACATTATGCTAGTTATTATGTAAACCAGGCAGGATCAAACAACATTTATTCTTTTCAACACCATGTAAGGGGTTCAAAGTAACGACAACTCATCCTTGATCGTTTCTCGTTTAAAACAATTACTTGTTGACTATTTTATAATTAGGCCGTTACTTGTTTAATTTTAGGTTATTTGTATCAATAAACAACATACTATTTACCACTAAAATCAATACTAGAATTTTGGTCACTTTAGTTGTTAATGCCCTAGTGAGAAGAAGGAAAAATCATGGACTTTACTGTTAGTCACTGCAAGTTATAATTGTTGTTAATAAGATGATATATCTAGAATGTTCAGTTTTATTACTACAGTAAAAGTCAGCATGTAAAAAACATTGGGACCATGCATATTTATCATGTGTACACTACACCAACCAATTTTAGTATATATGAAGAAAAGATTGCAGGTCGACAATCATCGAGGGTTATTTCATGGGGTAAATGTTTTACAGTTGATTTGGTATACCATATTTCTGTTATTGCAATCAGGTAGTTTAATTTAAGCGACTGTAAGATAGAAGGAATTTTGGCTAGATTACATGCGTCACACTAATTTCTGATCATCTTCGTTGTATAACCCTTTTATTTATAATCTCTGTGCTTTATATACCCTTCTTTTTCTGTTTTCTAAGTCTACACACAATCAATTGGGTTATAACTTTTCTATTCTATTCTTGTAATTAACGAAATTCGAAAACATTGATTCAGTTAGATAGGTAATCATCAACTAAGCCAGTTAGGCTCGGAAATCAAACAACTTATGGTCACATGATTATGTGAATTTTTGTTATTTTGTGTTCTCTAGTTTGCATAGTTTATTAGCGTGGTTTTCATTGTTGTACTGAACGATAACATCATGAAATCTTACTGTTAGGTGATGTAAACATCAATTTGAGCTACAAATCTTCATCATTTTGAAAATGTTTTCAGCCTAACATGCTTCTACTTTTTCGAAAATGTGACAACTGTGTTACATTTGAAAAATAAATAACACCAGATCGACACGTAAACGAACCTGTAAATATGATTCGGGAATAATTTTGATACGATAATTGTTTATAGAAAGACTATTGTATAATTCATAAAGTATGGTTATCCATGTCTCATATTTTAATATTCTGTTTCTAATCTATTCTTTATACATTACTTCATAAGCCATTGACTGGTTGTTAACGTGTAATTGTTGCATAAAATCAGTCGTTGGAGGTATATACATATTCTGAATTCATGGTTAAACATTATAGTTATGATTTTTAAATAATAAGTTTTTCTTTTCGGCTTATCTGATGTACTCCACAATAAAATCTTCTAGAGTCGGTTTGTGATATTGAATGAATTAAATTTACATATTTTGCGTCTAAATTACTTATGGTTTGTGAACACTGGTTATCTATAATCATTGTATAAAATAGTGAATAATGAATTCTTGAACTTATTAACCAGTTTATGTCGACATCCTTGTATTCATACCCAACCTCATGTATCCTGAAAGTTTCATCAGCCCTTGTGAGTAGGTGTCTGATAAAAAATGGTATACTTATGCAGAAAGTCCGATTGACGTTTGTCAACTTACCTCACAAAAGGTTTTTGATTATAAGTGCCTTCGAAGTATTATTCTCGTTTTGTGGAACAACTAAGTGGGCAGTGTGTTGAGTCCTAGGCTCAAGGTACCTGGCAAAAGTGGCAAGTCAGTTGATTAGGTTTTGAATATCTATCAGATAAGTTGGTTAGAGCATGTGTTACGTATGCCTAATCACCATCTACCTCAGTGAACGATGCTTTTTGGTGCAAAAGTAGGTTGGAAAGTATCTACGGGTAGTCAAGCGAAGATGTAGCATCATTCTATGTAGGCACTGGCTATTGTTCCGAACCATGTTAGTATATGCAGACTACCTAGTTGGAGACTAGATGAGACAACTAAGAATAGTACATGGTGCAAGTGCGTCCTCTCTTTATCTCCTTCTAGATCTTCAACCCCAGCATTCCTTCATATACACTTTCACCCGGTCTTTTTTTAATCATATTCTCAATGTACAGTCTTTCTCATGACTACTGCTCCTACACTATTTCTCTTTGTTTTTGTATTCATATTGTTCATTTCGTCTCACTGCGCCAATCTGCTACAGTGACTTAAAACAACTCACTTCTATGCCAGGCTCCAAGTTGGCTGATTAAATTTGTGATCAATAACTCATCATTTTAATTATCTGATCGTATTTTCCTACTAATTAACAATTTGTAACCATCACCATATACTAACATGAGTGGTGAAGGTTATCAATAAGAAATAGTTTATAAAGTTACACTATTCTTCTCATATTACATTAAATATGGGTTAACTTTCAAGTAGTAACACATTTACACTGTATTGATTAGCTAGGATTTATTTATTCCTATTATGGTTCTATAGGATGTTTGACAACAACTGAAAAACAATAACTTATCGTGCGATACATTATTTTTGTATGCAATCAAATAATTTTTCAGGAAATTATGTTTGTTTAGATAGAATCGTTATTCAGATATGATAATGACATCCACTTATCTTACTGAGTATGGATTTTATGTATTAATATGTGTTTACTAATTTTCTCTTATCAAGGGTGGTGGTACTGGTGGTTCTATTCGGGATGCTGGTGGGGCGTTCGGCAAATTAGAAGCACGTAATGAGGAAGAATACTTCTATAAATTGGTAAGCGATTATTTTATCAATATATATATATATATATATATATATATATATATATATATATACCTTGGTCCAGATACGATGTGTCGTAAATATAGATACAAAACTGTTGTGATTCGATCATGATATGTGAGACTACTTAAGAGTATTTATTTGTTCAAACACATATATTTTGGTAGAGAGGGGCACCAAAATATATACGCGATAAACAAAATTTGTGCAAGGGCTTCGATAGGGCCTGGCTGCACTAACCAAAGCAGGTTGTTTTCTTAGAGGGTCACAACCCGAGCCTTTGACCTAGAGATCTAGTCCACAAGGCAGTGGAGCAACGTTAGGAAATACAGACCCATGGTACTCAGTGACCGACGATTAGTTTATACGCTATTTGTTCCCTAATGATCCTGGTCCCCATGCGTACCATTGGTTTGGAATCAGTTTACCAACTTCCGTAAATGGATTCTTCGTACCCATAAACTCTGTTTATGCTCTATTAAAGTAACTTTTTATAAAGTTGTGAATTATTTTCTTTGTTGTTTTAGCAACAACAACAGTTACATGAATTAAAGAAGCATTTAGAAGAGGAACATGAACGTGAAAAGAAGGAGATCAAACGACTTGAAGTAAGTTTTTCGACTGTAATGTTAATTTTATTCAAGCTACTGTATTGTAACAAGCTGGAATAACCATTTAAGCTCTGTTTATGAATTCATTAGAGATTCACAAATTACTATCCTCCGATCTTCGAGACATTCTTCGAGTTTTATGACAACTCAGTTAACGAGATCGGGAATCTTTATCTATTGAAGTTTTCGCGATATGTGTTATCTATGACCCCGTATATTGTCTACCTCATCACTGATTTGATAGGTGGAGTAGATGTAGGTTGGAAGAAAGTTTTGTGCTGGCCAAACCAAAATGTAGTTTCAGTCTATTAAAGCTTTGACTGTTGAACTAGACTATATTGGCGGATCCAAACCACCTTGTTGTATTTTGCGTTATCAGTAGTTAGAGACGTTCGGTAACATAACTCAGCATAAATGAAAGTAGTTCATAAGTATCCAATCTTTATCTTCATCTCGATATTAAGTTTCAGTATTTCTGCATCCATACTTTTTCATTCAGTTTTTTTTTCAAACAGTATCCTCAGTGTTTAGTTTTGACTATCGTTATTATTATTATTATTATTCCGACTCTTTCCCATTCAACTTGTTGATTTTATATCATTGTACTAATCTGGTGCGTCGAGTTAAGTTCTGCGTTGGTTATGACCGACTTACTATTTACAACCTTCATAAAATTATGCATATATAGAACCTAGAAGAATGACACGTGAGTTATCGATAACCTCGCTGTGTTGAAGAGATTACAATATCACCTAAACCTGCGAACAGAACGGTTAGCAATACAACAACAGGTCAAGCTAAACTATTCCAATACTCCCCAGCCCTGCTAACAAGAGGGGGAGGACCACATTCAATGGAGGGAAAAGTATTTTCCACGAGCAGCCAAAAGCACGGACAAACAAGCACACGACTAAAGCGTATATACACATTATAAATATGTCTTTAGGAAACGTCACAAAATGGAGTATTAAAGGAGGAAACGAACCAATTGCATTTAGGGTCCTTCCAAGTAGTAAATAGAATCTGAAAGTGAAAATGGGTGCTTTTGGCGCGAAAATGAGAAATTCAAATTTCCAAAATAGGACGTTTACCAAGTGACTTTTGAGTATCTAGCATCCCCAACACCTCCCCTTTTTAATAGCGTATGTTCTTGTTATGGCTTTAAGTTGGTGGTTGATTTTTACCCTGTGTTATCGATCGACTACAGTTACACGTAAACACGAACGAACGGCCTACAATTCTGATTGGTCCTGCTTCCCTGTCCAGCCCAGCCAGTTGAGTCCAGAACACAAGCCACAACCTCTGAGATATGAATCATTATATTTCAAACATACTTTATTTATATACCAATCAAGCATACCACATCGTACCATAAAATAGAAAACAACATTTTGTACAATATACAGCAAGTGAACAGATATCGACCAATAGAAAATATCCATTTAAAGTCCAGGGACACCATTGAACTTAACATGATAATTATTGGTCTATTCCTCTGCATCCACAACAGTTCTTGGCGTTCACTTGCATCTTGACCGTTTGTTGCCGTTTTCGAAGTGACTACCTTTTAGAACGTAGGTTAATTTTTTGTTGTACTTCTTGCGTGGGGACTTCAGGAATGTTGAAGGTATCTAACAGAACTTGGAGCTGGAGATTTGTGTTTCTCGACGGGCAATCTAGGGCTAGCCGTTTCCGTAGCTAGTTTCGGTGTCGAATCCACCTGTCTCTTCCTACCTCAACTTTCTACATGACTTGGCCCAGCCTTCTGATCACACGTGCTTCAGTCCAGGGACCATGTTCTGGTATGTAGTCGCGAGCAAATACCGGACATCCTGCCTCTTACGTCGGCAGCTCCTGGTGTAGTTTTCGGAAGTACCAGATTGTGAATCGTCCTCAGTCTTTTCCCCATGAGGGTCTCTGCTGGGGACTTTGCTCCGATAACGTATCACTGGGTGTCGTTCGATAAACGAGTAAGAAGTTCTGTGGTATTTCGACTGGCATCCCCTCCCCTTTTGACTTAAGTCGGGCCCTCTTAAACGTGTCTACAAACCTTTCTGCTTGGCCATTCGACTGGATGGTAAGGAGAAGAGCGGAAATATTTGGTGACTAGCCGTCGGCAGAATTCCTGGAACTGGCTGGAAATGAATTGCCAACCGCTATCTGATACAATTACATCAGGTGATCTGTCCCGGTAGATCTCCGTCAACAGCTGTGGTGTTTTGATCGTCGTTGGTGGCACGATGGAGAGGACTTCTGACCATTTCGAAAACACATCGACTACAACTAAATAAGTAGTCCCATTGATTGGGCCAGTAAAGTCGATATGTATCGTGGACCAGGGATATTCAGGCTGTGGCCATAAAACCGGCGGCACTTTAGCGTTAAATTTCGTCGCTTGTTGATACTGTGTATTTACTTACTAACTTCATGATGTACTGGTCCATTAGAAACCAATATACTTAACTTCGAGCCATGAACTTCATTAGTTTTACTCCAGGATGACCAATAAGAAATTGCTTCAACACCTTTGGTCGTGGAGATTCTGGCACAACCACTATCTCTCCAAACAATATATGTACTGAAGTTGACTAATCTGTTGATTTCAAATTTTTGTCTTGCATTATTAATTGATGAAACTATTACGCTTCTTATTTTACCTCGTTGTCTAAGTTAGTTGGTAAATTCTGCTTTTTTTAAATTATGGACCATACTTTGTGACCTCTATGTATGTAATTAATCAATAAATTACTGTTTATGTGTTCGCCATACAACCTTACTTCTATGTGTATTCAGGTATATGTTATCATACGTATCGATCTTGCAACACATTTGAAGAAAACACTTTGTCTATCTAGACTATATTTATGTATCGATCTTGAACGGTGTTTACATTGCTTAGGAAAATGGTAAAGTACAATCTTCATGCAGTCAGTTGTTATCTATATCGAGTCTAGTACGCAGATATGTGCCTATCCAAGGTGCCATACTGTATTAGCACAATGAGATGAAAATATCGAGATGAATAGCAGTAGTATTGATTCTCATTCGACGAATTGTTCCATAAGAGTTAAAAGATCATTTAAGGGTAATTTCATATCACAGATAATTTTGATCACTATTTCATATTAAGTTGTGAAACCATAGAAGCAGTATGGATATTTGACATTGTTCACTCACAACTGTTCACTGGAGTCAGATTTAGGACTTTCATATTTCTCAATAGTTACGTAGGTTTTTTTGACAAAATTCATCTAATCGAATAGAAATATGTAAATTAATTATTCAGACTTTTTGAAATTCATCCGATTGTGAATAAGATGAGATATGCCTATTGAAATAAATCATATTTCTACTTGATTGTTAATTGGCGGTAATCCAGGTCTTTTTCCAGAACCAGTAGCTTCGTAGTTAAACCATGTATCCCTAACTCTTCAGGTAGTCAGTTCCAATAGCACAAGACTTAATTCAATTCTGTGTAACTGATTGCTGTCACTACCGCTCATAAACAATGTGACTCAAAACTGAGTACATAAACCTGTACTTGTTAAATTATATATATCATATCAGACTTTGATTCTGGGTACTAGATAATGATGGCATATGAGTTGATGAAGTTGTAAGCCTTCATCAACTAAGGTAGTTTAGATATGTGTCAAGTATCCCCAATTACCCCCTATTCCGAAGCACCATGTTTTCTGGTGTAGGAATAGGTTGGAAGAAAGTTAGGGGCTGCCAAGTTAGGATATGCATAGCATTAGTTCATAAAATCATTGGTAGTTGATTTGAGCCATGCTGATAGGTGTAAACTACCTGGTTGGAGTCACCGCGAGTCATCCGCACTAGCCCAGGCGCATTTACGCTTTATCTTTCCATGGTTCTTGAACCTTGGAATTTCATACCTTTTTGTTTATTTTTTTACTACACTTAACCTTTTCGAGTACTACCCTATTATTTATCTTTATAATTTCATCGAACTTTTGATATGTCTAACCAACTTTAACTGGTACATATATATGTTAGGTTCTACGTTTCATTATAACTGACTGACTGAACCTAAAGGCTGTCGATGCGCAGGAAATATAACAGTATATATATGATGCAGTAAGATTTGCATCAATGAACAATTGGTTATCATCCCATTTCGAGTTTGATCAGTAAAAGTTAATGATACAAAGAATATATTCTTCCACTACTAAATATACAGTTGAATTAGGTTATAAGCTCGATCTCAATTTAGTCTTTGTAGCTTTATGTAAAAGGTGTCTTGAGCCAAATACTTAGATTTACTGTGAAACGTTGGCTTAGTCATATGAAAGTTCAGATCTCCCCTGTGTATGTGCATATAAGAGCATAGTTTTCTCTAGGAGATTCCATTCCAATCATTTGAAGCCATCCATATATCTCTTCTACAAACACTCTACTGTGGTTAATTTCAGCATACCGGATAAAAAGCAAATAAATTGAAAGGTGCATCATGAAATAAAATATCTAGTAAAGATTATGCTGTGATATACAGCATTTAGTTACTGAAATGCTTGGTACTACACTGTTGGCGGGATGCAGATTGGATCAAAGTATATTCCGTACAGGATTATGTTGGGGCACGTCTTCAAATTGACACAACATCCGGTACCACCCTAGTTTCTAGAGAAGCGTATAACCTGCTTGGGAAACCGCCAATGAAGCCGTCTAAGAAGACCGCTAAAAGCTCATCAAGAGGAGTGCTAAAACTGGTTGACGAATCACAGTATGAATTTTCCTTCATTGGAACTAACTGTGAAGGAATATGCTATCTAACAGAACAGTCGAACTTTGATCTTCTTGATCTAGATATACTAGAAAAACTTGGAATAATGGATATACCTATTAACAGTGTCTGCAACTTGTCGTGCTCATCATTGGACACCCCGATACTTGCAGAAAAGACAGATGAAAGGTTTCTAGAAAAGCTAAAAAGAAAATTTGCTTCCATAATAGTAGATTCAGAAATAAGGTGTATAATAGCAGATGCCATTCGTCACACTCGAGTGTCATCAGAGGAAGTCAGAGAAGAAACTCTTCAAGATCCAGTTTTACAAGTTAAAAAGTCCCACCTAGAAGGGTGGCCCTCGAAAACCAGCTTCACAGAGCTTCAGGAGTTTTATCAGCGCGGACCATCTCTCTCAATCATAGCCGACTATCTTCCGTTTGCCAAACGTGTCATAATCTCAAAGAAGCTGCTACCAACAATGCTTGAAGAGTTACGCGCGGGACATTCTGGAATAAATCTCATGAAAGCACTAGCACTAAGTCATGTATACTGGCTGCATTTAGACACTCAACTTGAGCAGCTATCCCGTTCGTGTACCAAATATGCATTAAAAATAAAAGTATCACGGAAAGCAAAGCTGCAATCACGGCCATCGCCACAGTCACCGTGGTAGCGTATACCTTTGGACTTTGCTGGTCTACTTCATGAACAAACTTACCTTCTAGTAGTTGATGCATACAGCAAGTGGCCAGAAACTTTTATTATTGGACATCCAACTGTAAGCTGCACAGCCAGAAAACTACGTCAACTGTTTAGTCGTTTCGGGGTCCCAGAATTAGTAGTTAACAACAATCGAACACAGATTACGTCTGCGACCTTCTCAGAATTTTGTCAGTGAAATGAAATCAGTCATGCCCGAACACCTCCATTCCATCCCCGATCCAATGGCCAGGTAGAAGGCTTTGTTGGTGTATTTAAAAATGCTCTTCAAAAATCAAAAAGGGATGGGACGACCGAAAAGATTTTAGGAACATCATGGGGTACAAAGACGATTGTTTACGGTGGATCAAAATGTACTTACTATAGACTATCGTAGCAAACATCCTAAATGGATAGCTTGCCGAATCGTGAAATGAATGCAAGTGTGGTTTACGAGGCGACAGTTAGATCAGGAGTTTGGGTAGGTCATGCTTACCAACTGAAAACAACTTCTAATACCAGCAACAAGATCAGACATAGAACACCTCTTGATGTTCTGGTGGACACCTTTCAAATCAAAAACCCTGGAAGAGATAGGTCAGTCTCTGTGCGAGCAAAGAGTGATACCACTTCATTATTGCCTAGAAGGTGGACAAATCGAAAGCACAGACCACTCTCGCGGTCTTAGCGGGACTCTAATACCAGATCTTATGAATCTGCTAGATTGGATTGTGATGGGGCACGCTGGCTGGCTATTTATTATCCGATCAGTGCTGGCGAAGACTTGAAACCCGAAAATCCTCGACTGTAATTGGCTCGTCTCTCCTTATTCTATACTTTTACTAGTTCTTCCTCCACTGAATTTAAAAACTATTCCATATTGTTAGTTGGTGTTTCTTTTGTTCGATATTATTGCGATGGACTTTTCTCAGTGAAGTGAAACTTCTACATTTTTTTTATATTTCCTTTAGGAATCACTCAAAAAACGGAAAAAAATACTGGCTGATCTTGAAAAGAAGCATTAGTTGACAGGATCGACCATTTTTATCGACTTGTATTAGATATTATAGACTGAAATTCCAATTAGCATGATATGTATCTGTGTATATGTAGATTTTCACATATCCAACAGATTTCTGTACTTGAAAGTCGAATGATGATAAATTACTGAATAATCTTTAATACTTTTTTCTATATATTCTATCAGGTATAATTTCAGTCACTTTTAACTAATCGGTTCGATTAATAAGTTGTAGTGTTACTTATATCAAAAGAAAAAGCAAAAACGATCCCTATGCAATCCCAGAAAAAACAAAGCATGAAATTGCAATCGAAAAAGTTAACAGCATAAGTTCTCTGTATCATTCAATCATTTTCTAACCTATTTCATAATAAAATAAAAAGACAAGAAGGGAAACTTATTCCGTCAGTCAGTCAGTAACAACGTAGAACTTTGTACGTATGTACATCAGTTCGAGTTGCCATACCACATTAGCACTGAGATTCAGTTGTCATATTCAAATCCAGTAGTGGTAGAGATAGTAATGGTATAAGCAGTAATCGGAAAGATGAGAGTTTGAAGATGTTGTTCAAGGAGTAGAATCCAGTGAAATAGATTTGGAAAGAGAAAAAAAGGGACATGGAGTATTCAGAAGGTTAGAATTTGTGAGAACACAAAGAGGAGATGCACCTGCGCCATTTTAAACGATTTTGAGTCATGTCATTCAATGTCTCTAACCATCGATTCCTTTGGTATGCAGACCCTAAGATTTCAAGTTTTTCGGCGTGTCAGATCTAACACAACTTTTGTTGGTTAATTCCCGTCAAGATTTTAGAATGTATTTTATTTCCAAAACAGATATCTATTCTGTCTTTTTATTCTTTGTTTTAAGGATCAATGTATAGCATAGAATGACTAAATCCCCTTGACATGATTGATACATTTACTTATTTTTTCTATCAGTTAATGTTTAGGTTTCCATAGAACAATGAGAAGACGGAGTTGATCTGAAAATTGTGATGTATTTGCGCTATACATTTCGAAAAATCTGGTCACACACATATACTTGTCAAGGCATTTTTATATGAAAATTAATAAAGGTCAAACAAATAAAAGTACAATTAAAATAACTAAGGGGAGAGAAAGAATAAGAAATTGTCGCGTTATCCTAGGCCATAGAATGACTTAAGGATTACCAAGGTAAATTCAAGGTTACGACAAATTGTTTTTGTACACATAAGGGGGGTTTAAATTTACGAATGGTCAAGGCTTCTATAAACTTAAGAATTCGACCTTGACAATTTCTATACAACGTTCTAAATGCTGTATTCATGTTAATTTTGTGCCCTGTCTCAATTATATGTTTCGCTATCGATGAACTTGGTTTTCTACCTCCTACATTGATCGGATCCTTTGACACACACTGATTTTGAAGCCATCTAGGCACATGTTCATTGACCCTTGATTGCATTGTTCGATTACTCCTCCATATGTATGTGTGTCCACACAAACATGTAAATTGGTAAATACAATGGGATGTGACGTAATCATTAGTGCATTGTTTGGGTCTATTGGGAATCATGGCCTTAGACTTTTCAATCACTACCAACTGAGCAGCATAATACGTATTCTCGATGGCTGCTTTCAATCTCTGCCTTGAAACTATACTGTTAGATTCACCTCTATATGGTAGATTGATATAAACCTTTTTCTTTGGCACTGAATAAACTAGAGGTCTTGGCATTAACTGACTTTTGCACCTATTAATAAACTTTAGTGGATAACCATTTGTTATTAAACTGTCAGTCAGTAACTTTTCATCTTTTTCCACCATATCAGAGGTACATATTCTTCGAGTCCTCTTAAAGAGGCGCTTAACTAGACCTCTCTTGTATTGCAATGGACAGAAACTATGGAAATTTAAGTGTTGTCCCGTCCAAGTTGGTTTCCTATACACGGACCGTCTAATAGTGCCATCATCCCTTTGACTTGAACGTTTGTCTAGAAAGGCTATTTGGCCATTACTTTCTGATTCATGTGTCATCACAATATCGTTTTGAACACCATTGAGTTTATCCAGTAATCGGTAAACATCAAAATCCTTATCACATATAATTAGGACATCGTCCATATATCTTCTATATGGAGTTGTCTCACTAACGAGGTCACTCGTCATATTTTCCACATATGACATAAACACCTCAGCTAAGAGAGGCCCTAAAGGGCTATCCATAGCTACACCATCAACTTGTCGAAAATATTCACCATCAAACGTAAATTGAACATTAGCTGTACATAATAAAAGTAATTCTTTCAAAAATGGTAACGGAATAGGAAAAAGGGGAAAGTTTTTGGAAATCCACCGTCTTTGTTAACGGTATATTCGTGAAGAGGAATGTTTAGGTTGTAAACTAGTCTTTGTCATTTAGTCGCCTGAAATGACTGGCAATGGAGAAAGAATAACAGTTTTCGTATATTGTCATATTGGTGTTTTCGAAATAACTTCCCACCTTTGACGAAACTTTCTATTAAGTAAATGTAATTATACATGCAAAATTCTAAGTAATATAGAATTCTGCGCGGCAGTTCGTTTTGTTCTACTTTATGGCTGCGAAACGTGGTCATTAAGGTTAGAAGATACTCGTAAGCTACTAGTATTTGAACACAGATGACTTAGAAATATTGCTCGCATCTGCTGGAATAGTGAGGTTAGACGCAGGGTATTAGGGAATGATGCTAAATCAGTTAATGAGGTTGTGAATCTTCATCGACTGAGATGGTTGGGTCACGTGTTACGTATGCCTGAACATCGATTACCACGACGCGCAATACTGACTAGCGTTGGGAATGGTTGGAAGAAAGTTAGGGGCGGCCAAACTAAAACGTGGCATCAGTGCGTGAAGTCAATAACTTCTGGTCCGAGCCATGTTAATAGATGCAGACTACTTGATTAGGGTCCGGTGAGACTCGTAACCAATGGTTGGAGACTCTTGGTGACATGGCTCAGAATCGACCACCTTGGCGTCGGTGTATACATCGTTTGTCCTCCCTTAAACTATCGGATTAAAATTGCTCTATATCTTTCTTTCTACCAATCCTTATACACAATCTTTCCTTTATACATTACTATTGAAGTGACTACTTCTATGAATTCGGTGTTCATCTTGTTGTGCTAATGAGATGTGGTAACTTGGACCGATGCATATACCTGCTCTGTGCTACGTTGTAGCTGACTGACTGAGTAACATAAGAAAACTAATTTGTTAATTATATTAAAAAACCATTGAAATTATGGTGATACGACTTAATATAACCTCGATGCGGAGATGTAATAATATGAGTAAAATAACCTTAATATCAATGATTAGATAATGAATCTTTAAATGTCATTGAGTATAATGTAAGATATACATCTAAATGATGAATGAGAACAGGTGTAAAACTCAAGTTTTGTTTTAGGTCAATGTTTAATTTATCTAAATGTTCACTATGAACAATGTTGTATTATTAATTCACAGTTAGTTTAGTCAATGAACCATATTTCTTATATATGGTGCTTAATGATACATCGGGACACACTTTTACTTTTTTTCTGTAATTAAGGATTATGGACTGTATTGCTGATTAATAATAAGCCTTAGTTCAAATAACCAAAATAAAATGAGTTAAACTTCACCATATTACACAAGTTAGTGGCTATTTGGACTCAGTAGCTAAGTTGATGGCTAATAAGAGGTTGATCAATTGCAGTCCTAAGCTCCAATGGAAAGATTCAAACAACCAATACATGACAAGTCTTAATGTCAAGTAATTTTGAGTAGTTTATTTAGAAACTAAGCGAAGATAATGAGCTTGTTGGGTGTTACATTGATCCATTTAATCTTAAGTCTGGGTTAACGAAAATCATAACAGAGAAGGGAGGAGACAATATTTGTTTGTATTGTTCCGATGAAGGCAACTGGGTTATATTTTAGGGTATATATTGATTTTCACTCTGTACTTCCCACTTAATGTAACGATTTTTAGTGGCAAGACAACGGGATTGAATTTTCATAGTATTTATAATTTGTGTAGAGGATTTGTTGAAATTATAGAATTTTCACAGTTCAAACCGCGAACACATCTTAAGTATACAACCATTAGAAACCTGAAAGCACTGGAAGGCCATCTCGTCCTATTATGGAACTTCTCAGTGACAGTGAATGTCGAAAATCCTGCATCATGAACTTTCCCCAGTATGAGACTTCTGAAAAAGTACTCATGATCCCATCAAAAGTCGGATTCATGACCATATCTTCGGCAAATATTTGGTTTGCGAACTAATAAGTCGGCGTATAATTTTCTACGTGTCTAAGACAAATTTGTGATATTGTGCAACCATCTTCCGATGCTTTTCTCGAGTGACTGTTGTTCATTCGACTTGTTTAAACTCTGTTGATTACAGCTTAATACTAGAACCTCGGGGATTCTCGAATCTAGTCACTTGTAGTCACATAATTATTATTTAGTATAAATGGTTTGGTAGAGATTGTTGAATTTGAAGGTTAACATCATGAATTGACTATTGAAAACTAGGAAGCATTGCTATGGAATCCTACACAGGGACTAAATATCTGTCTTGTGTCCACTGGTTTACTAGCTATGATCATTCTGTGATGTAAAATATAAAATTTAACAATATCCACAAATCCCTCATAACGAATAACATATAGATGTGTGTTATTGAAGGATGGATACTTGTGCCTATGTGATTAAGCTACGAACTCATTCATAAATGAACAAACAATAACCACTTTTCTTAGGGCAAAATCTGATACAAGTATAAAGAATCATGACAATACTACTGTAAATTTTTTTGCTTAATTTATTGTCCAAAAGTATGTGATTAAACTGACTGAAATTTATTGCATACAATGTATTTTAATAGATAGACTTTGTCTTCTCATTATCACTACTACTGTATAATGCATGTGAGATGTTTTCGGTTGTTCGTTCATTTATATATTTATTGTGTTAAGGACTTATGTAGAACGTTGACTTAATGGTTTGGACGATGACTGAATCTATTTGTCTACATGCATTGATATAAGCGAAGACGTCATAGCGTTTGACCTCTAATTGATGTCCATGAAGACAACGACGAAGGGGGTGTTTACTTTGTCCAGCGCAGTGCTTTTCACAATTGAAATAGTCTATTTTTTAGATACTGTGGACACACGTTCGACTGTTTAGATGTTGCATATGTGTTTAGATCATGCATAAAAGAAATATTAAAAACATCTGAGAATTTTCAGAGGCTTGGCACTCATGTTAATCACCAACCGAACAAAAAAACGTCGAAACTGGTCCAATCTACAAACCAATCGGAAAAGTCATGGACAAATATAGGACCAATAATCAGATCAAATGGAGATTCCATACAAATAGAGAGGTAAATAATGACAGGTTAAAGGTCAACAATAACCAATGAAGATCGAGGTTGACAGGAAAAGCTATAAATTATATGTGGTGTAATTCGAACACTTCACTTTTACCTGATGATGTTCAGAAGCACATCTGAGCTGCAAATCTTCACCATCTCAAAATACACCTGGACGTAAGCGCTGTTTCAGGGAAGATTGATATTCAACTCTTCCTAGTATTTGCTATCATATATTTTTTTATTGTCTTCGACCTGAAAGATCAGTCCACTGATTTCATTAAACGTAGGGCAGAAAATTCTCAGCGTACGTTCCTTGTGATAACCGACACGCGTACGTTTTGCATATATCTATCTACATAAACCACGCAAGCCAAAACCCATCCAATCCATATGCATAAGCACACACATCGGGTAGCCTGCCAGATTTTTGGAGTGCCCTGAGAACGGAACCCAGTTAATTCCGTTCACAACAGAGTGGTGGATTAGTTCGATCACCGCCAATCGACCAAGTTAGCTAGTACGGTTGCCCCTACTACCCGGCAGAACGGCGGGGGCCTTTATATTGGATTTCGCTGACAAGATCTTGGTAGCATTTATTATACGAAGGTTAATCATGATACTCAGCTAAATTAATAGAAAGAAAAAGAACAACTTCGTCGGTTTGGTTCACCGTTTACTATTACATCCGAGGGGTCTCCACTGTTAACCAGAAAAATTGGCTCCGTAACTGTAACTGGATAACCAACTGTTATATATGAAGAACCATCACTGTTATGTACGTATCAACTCTATTGAGTTTACAACCTAACTGCTTTTACTTGACACTCGGGAACCACTGCAATTCCTCGATCCTACTGGTTATACAGGGGAACGAGAATCACTACAATTCCCACGACGCAATCATTTGTGTCAAATTTTACACATACCGCATAATAAGAAATACTATGAGATACATAGGATTACTGTGAAGAACGCTAAATATAGTTTACCTGAATTAATATACGGAACGAAATTGTCATATTGAACGAGAGTTCACATTTGTCATATAGAAGAAAGTTTATGCCAGATAGATACCAGAAAATAATGACGTAAATAATGTTATCCTTCTATCATGTCATATCATGTATAATTTCAATAAAGCATGAATTTTGTAGGGATACAGCATATTATGAATTCTTGTGATTCCGTTATCTCCTCTGCTACATGACTGACTAGTTACTGTTATAGTTATTCTTGCAATTCGCTTAAATTTTTCATCTTTAAGTTGAACTTCAGGGGATGTAACCATGTATTTTCTGAGTCCAGTATGATGCAGAAAAACGGGTGCTTGTTTAGCGCGTTCTCAAATATCTGAACATATATTGTAGAATGGGTGCCAGTTTCCTATCGAGCCTCTCCAATATTAGTTGATGGAAATGTAATCTATTTATATCCATCATTAAACTGGTCTTGTGAGTCGTCATGGTAAACACCGAAGTTTTTTTTACCTCGGTCTGGCTTACATACTTTGTCATCAAAATCAGTTGCCATCGTTACTGAGTTCAAGGGTTTAGGCTTTCAAATAATGTAAGTAAGCTTTCTGCAAAATTCATCTTTTTCTTTAGTGGGAGCGTAAGCAGATATGTCGAAGCGATAGTCCCGTGTTCCTTTTCTTTGTCCGTACAATAGTTATCAGGCAACACAGGAGCACTACGTTCAGTTCTTGAGAGCCTGTCCTAGCTTAGAACTTAATTCCATAATTAAGCCAGCGAACTCACGAGAAGTAGCAGTCAAGTTTCCAGATAAACAAAGTGTAAATCGCACTGGTCCTCCACATTTGGACTCTGTATGTAAGTTCCGGAGATGTAGCAAATGTCAACGGCACGGGTCCTAGCTAATAAAGCCTATCGTGTAGTTTACAACACGTTCCAAACACTAAAAACCCCAACGTGTAGATTCGGACGTGGTTTCACGAAACCAAGAAACAATACTTGCTGAATTTATATCGTTTGCATTATTGGGACATAGAGAAAAATACGGAACTATCAAACAACCGAGATAGGTTGAGTGAATTTGATCGCCAATAAGATTAGCATAAGTGTTTCAGAATTGTAGTCATCACTTCCCAGTTGTCCAGACAGAAGTTCCCTTTTCAGTTAGTTGTCTGTAAATGAAAATGAATTAGTTATGATTTTACCAACTTTGAAGCATGACCACTAGGCTTTTTTGTAAGTAGTTTCCTATGAGTTAGTTTTAAAGCGTTACTGACAAGGATGCGAATCTGTGCGACTAGATGAGGTGTGCTTTTTTTGGGATTTAATCTTGTCAACCAATTCATTCCCTTTGTTAGAGTCTTACACCACTTCAGATTCTAGTTTTTGGAGAGGAAAACATTTTATTCATACTTAACTACAGTCAGCAGTATAACTTCGCTTTCAGATCTTAAGTTTTTTCGTTTAGTGTTATCCCTCCGCCCTTTACCTTCCTATTGCAGGATATAGGGTTCGGATAGGTTGTCGTTTTTGATAACTCTGACCACCTTATCTAGGTAACAGCTACTGTCTGATGTTGTTGATTTAACCAATCTAATTAAAGAACTTGCTTATTAACTTATAGTTTTTTTATATGTTTATAGCACTATACAAATTATGTTTGAAGGATCAGAGCCTGGTTGTGGAGCAGGAAAGGTAATTGTCAAATAATTTTCTTTACGAATCCTGTTAATAATAATAATAACATCAACTTTTTACCTTGACAACAATAGATTTATCAGTCTGTATTCTTCTATTGAACAAAAAGAACGGTCAATGTTGACGTCAGTTCTGATGGAATGAATTACTCGATGACATAATGTTTAAATGTCAGAAATATTGTGGCAGTAATAAAAAAAATGTTTGAAAATACTCTTCTATTTTATATGACCAGATTTGCGATACAAGTTTATGCGTTACAAGGATCCACCAACATAAACATTTAACATACCATTATTATATAACGGAGATGAGTTTCTCTGATTCTCTGTAATACGATTTGATGCTTGATAATATATTAGGTAGATCAAATAAGCTCGGTTCTTCACAATCTGATTATCTATTAAGGACAAAATATAAACCAGAATAATAGTTTCTTGATACAGGATACGGAATCCCGTGCGGCAGGGTCGTGGATGCGCACTGCTGAGGAGTCCCACAGTAGGACGAAACGGCCGCCCAGTGTTTCCAGGTTTCCCATGATGGTCTAGCTTCGATTGGCTCATGATCTCAAATATCGAAATTACTACAATCTCCACAAAACCTCTTCTGATATATATATAATTCTCTATCCGTTTTAGGGAGGTGGTGCCGGTGGTTCTATTCGTGAAGCTGGTGGTTCACTAGGTAAAAGGGAAGCCACTTTAGAAGATGAATACTTCCGACGTTTGGTAATCATTAAATATTATTAATAATTTTTAAATATCCCTTTTCTTAGGATAAACAAAACATCGAAGCACTCAAAGATAAACTGAATAAGAAATCTGTTGTGGAGAATCAATCTTCGGTGGGTGTGGCATTTAATATTGACCATTAAAAGTATATATATATATATATATATATATATATATATATATAATATTCATATAAGATCCTTGTGGAGATTGTTCAATGTTTCCAAGTCTATTCACCATCATCGACTAACATCAGCTACTACTTAAAATACTCTGAGTAGCATCGTAACATTATTGTCTTGTGATAGTTTGGAACTGTTTACCACTATACATTCATACAACTTCATAGGGTATTGAATTGATGACATTTAGGTTTCTTAGAAAGTACAAAAATATTCAACATCTGAGTTGGAATTATATATATGAATTGTTGTGACTGTGGACTGCAGATTAGATGGCAGCCAGTTATCGACCGAACCAAAGACGCGTAAACACGTCAGGACGGCCTAGAGTTCTGATTGGTCCCGCTTCCCTGTCTAGCACAGCCAGTTGAGTCCAGAATGCAAGTCTCAGCCTCCGAGATATGACTCATTGTATTTCAAGCATACTCTATTTATATACCAATCAACCCGACCACAACGTACTAATAAAATAGAAAATAACATTTGTACAATAATTAGCCAGAAGTGGCTGTGAATGTGGGAGGTAGTAATTAACAGATAGGGAATAATTCATGAATGGTAAATTGTACAATAATAGTTCATAGGTCAATATAAAGTTCATAATATGAGGGGCATGAATATGAAACAGTTTAGTTACATAACAATTATACGATAGAAATGTAGTCATAATATTGATCCATAAATGGATCCAAAAAATTACCATTTATTATTCTCATCAGGATACAACATGAATAATGGCAATAAAGTGTCATACAACAAGACTATGATACAAACATTCATATGATTTTATCTAATTGTCAATGGTTAAGTTGATGTTTATTATGGACAGTTATGTTAACCTTGTAATTAGTTCATCCTTGAATGTTTATTTTAATAATTACACTTGTCGTTTGTTAGCGATTCATCCAATATTCTTACTGTTTGTTAAAATCATTACTGATTAAATTTTTAGTAATAATTAGTATACATGTTTATGAAATTGAGAAATTCAAGTTGTATTAAACCTACTATATAGATTCGAATAGTTAAACTTTGAATGAGTTCATATTTACATCATAAATGATTTATTATTCTTTCACGTTCGCTTTTATATAAAGGATACATAGATGTTATCAACGTACAAGGAGTCACCGAATAGATATGCGCCACATAAATCATTCAGTTTGTGTGAGGGCTGGTATACTTCTCGGGTGCCCAAACTGAAGCGGATGGTTTTCTTAGGGAGCCACACCCAGAGCCTTCGAACAAAATTCTGAACCACAAAGCAGTGGAGCAACGTCAGGAGATGCGGTCCCATGGTAGCCGGTGACCAACAATTGGTTCATACGCCATTTGTTCTCTCAGGATACTGGAGTCCATGCGCACCATTGGTTTGGAATCAGGGTTTTCCAACTTCACCTAGGTGGACTCTCTGTGTCCACCAACCCGGTTAAAGTGCCGGACGTTCGCTTTTCGTGAACAACACCGCCACGAGAAGGCAGTGAGTAGGACTTCTGTGGCAGAGGCTATATACGCGTGGCCATGTGAGAGCATTTCGAGAGGGAGAGCGGACTCTCTTCACTCTCGGCCGTACCAGGGCATTTGGAGGCATAGATGTTATCATATTCATGTGTTCATTAATCAATCATAAATTTTCAATTTAAATCAAGAACTAATATTTACTAGATTACCACGGAAAATTTGCAAGAAGAATTGAATGCCTGTTTCATTCTAGCACAGGACTCCTTACTGGAAGTGTACATTCACAACTTTACATCCAGAAGTCAAACCTAATATCTTTAGTCTAGCTCACGAATGTCTAAACTCTAGATCAATTAGCCGGTATCCAATCGTGTTAGTGTCCAAATTCAGTCAATTCACGATATTACACAACTTTCACTTGTTGTCTATTGTGGATAACTTTTCCATACATCACAGATACCTGGTTTATAACTAATAACTTAACATACAGATGGGTAATTACTAACTAGCATCCATTCCATTCATTGTGTATAACACATCTTTTCGGTTTAAAAGGTAAAACGGTGAATCCTAGAATTGTTAAAAGAGAGAGAGACAGGATATAATAGTAGTTAAACGACAGAAGGAAACAAGCATATAAGAAAATCATTTCTGTAAAGATTCTTGCCAAGTAAATAAGAAAATGCTCTGCACAATACTTATCACTGATTTCAGTTAGCAAACAATGAATTCTATCCTGAAGAGTTAAAGATGCAGTCAATCACGGTCTGAATAACTCGATGATAACATCCTTAATTCTGAAACTGGTTTAATTCTCATGAGATGCATCAATCCCTGACGAGACTATAATTTATGGACTACCTTTGAATGAATTTTAAGTGACCTTAAAAAATGTTAATCAATCAGAAAACAGTTAGTTTATAGTAGAAACATTATGTAAAACCAAAGAATTAAAGTGGATACACTTCTTTTACATGGTTCAAAAACTTGTCAAGGTTAGAAAGAGATTCAGAGGTTTTAAAGTCGTAATGCATTCGATAGAGGAACTCATCTATATGGCTTTATAATACTAGGCCTCTGGAGTCATGATAAGATCGCAAAAACTATTTCAGCCTCGACCACATTTCCTCAATATTGTTTGTGTGCACTCCGGTTGTGTAAGCTTATCATTTTTATTACACATATATCTCTACAATACTCATACCACTAAACAACCGAAGCTTCAGTAACATCTGCGAATGTTGCAGCCAATGTTACTGATGCTTTTATTATACAGTTCGCAACAAATATCAGAATTTGTCGTCGTCTCTATCTGAATCAAACGAAAAAAGTCCTTATTCTTGCAGACTTTTTCCTCTAACATATATTATATCGAAGGACAACATCATCATGGTAGTCTACACAAAGGTCAACAAGTCATTTGATTACCACAATAACAAATGAAGAAACTTCTCAATAATTCCATTTGTTGTAGCCGTTCAATTATCATATCTTCCCTAGAATCCTCTGTGAACCGATTGTATGTAAACCTCAAGTACTGAAACGGATGCCGTGACCTTGAACTCCCTCAAACGCTTCTGATTGACTCGTCCACAAATTGTAGTCTTTCCTAACCCCTTCCAAACTATGGAAACTTCTTGTTTTCATGAATACTAACTAACACACAAATCTAGATTAAATGCAAATCTAATCTTTCATTAAGTTATGTAATCATTTAACATTGACGTTAACACTTCATGTAACATGTTAACGGTTTGCATTATGTAACAGAAATAAAAGATTACTAGTATAGGGGTTGTGGAGATTATTAAGTTTTTGATTGAGATCATGAACCGACTGATTTTTCACGAAGCTAGTCAAAAACTTAATAATCTCCACAACCCCTATACTAGTAATCAACATGTGCTCACTAGTGACTAGCTTCGTGAGGGAATTCTCGGAGTTCTATTGAGAAGCCGTGACCAGTGGAGCTAATCCATGTCGGGTAGAGACAGGTATCTACCTCAGTACAATGGAAGATGGTCGCGCAATTTCGTGGATTGGTCGATGTTAGACACTATCACCATTGGATACCGGCTCAGTGGTCCAGTAGGTTAAGCGTTCGCGCGCGAGATTGAAGGCCCTGGGTTCGAATCCCGTGAGCGGGATCGTGGATGCGCACTGCCGAGGAGTCCCACAATAGGACGGAAAGGCTGTCCAGTGCTTCCAGGTTTTCAATGGTGGTCTAACATCAATCGGTTCGTGATCTCAATCAGAAATAAAAGATGTTTGGTAAATAATTTCTTATTTTATTTAGAAAATCTGATTCCTTTTTTTCTCTTCATTTACTTTTCATCTTCATTCAGAAGGAATCTAACATTTAAACGATGGATAATAACAATAATAATCTGTTTTACAGTTTTTTTAATGCTTTTAATAATGTGTTATACTCATAGTTTCATTATGTATTGACTATTCTATTTTTAAAACAACAAATACATCCTCTTTTTGCTTGTAAAAATCAATGTTGTGCTTTACAATTGATTGATCTATGTCATGTGTGGATCTAGATAGCTCAGTGGTAACGTTTCTGACCATGAAGTTGGTTGAAACGGGATCGAATCCGCCGGGGAGCACCAGTTCCCTCAAGATTACAGGTTTACCTTGCTGACGAGTGCCGAGTAGCACGAAACCCGGGTCCAGGGTTTCCTATCGAGTATCTCCAACCACCATCTAATCTCAATGTTGTGCTTTATTTTAATCCATTGATCTAGTCACTTATAATTTATAACTTAGAACCTAATACAAATTAGCGTTGGCTCAAATTACTATGCCAGATCAACATGACGAGTTGCAGTCGAATCCAAATATTATAGATAGCATTGATAATGAAAGAAAATATATATTGAGAATACAGCTTGAAAAGATAGTGTTGGAAGGTATATACGAAGAAATAATGAAATTCAAGACCGAATAGAGGATAAAGAGTCAATGTATTTGTGTAATGTTGATAGATTCTGAGCCAATATTACCTAAAGTCTCAAATCACTGATGACGGTTATTACGCTGATCTCAACTAGGTATTCTACATCTGCCAATATGACTTAGACCAACTGTCAATAACTAGCTGCCCTAACCACCTCAGGTGATGATTTATAACCTGATCGATCGATTTTCTTTTATTAACTAGTACCTCAACATTTCTCAATCGGTCGTCTCACGGTAAGCAAATAGTTCTTCGAAGTACCTATGACAAAAACTTGGGGTCTATATATGTGTTCTACTTCCAACAACCGTGTTTCATACCCCGGATTATGTAGAGAGACCCTAAAAACAAAACGTTTCACTTTATTGCTTGGATTTCTGTTGCTAACTGTACATGACAGACCGCAGGCGGTTTTCCTTTTAGCAATGTGATCACTATAGCAGTTTGTCAAGACCATCTCCGACCTAGTTTCATTTTCATTTGTTACTTCAAAGCGTATTCGAACGACAGTTAACAACTGCGTCACACCTCTAACAGTACTTGAGATCACTTCGTTCACAATCAAAACTTATCCGTTGATCTAATTGTTATTCTCCTGTTGTCATTGATAGCTTCTTTTAAAAATATATTTGATTGATTATGTAAAAACTGGTTAGATTAGTGGATTCACGCTTCATACGTCTTGTAAATTTACTAGCCATAAAGGTTAATATTTTACAATATATGCAATCATACTGTTTATCTTTGAATCTCACAAATCTAGGACTTACTATCTGTAAATTCATTAATTATTCCATAAATTATAGTCTGCCAGATTTCGTTATGGATCAATTTGTAGATAGACTTAATAACATCAAAATTTCGTACTAACTTATGAAGGGGAAAATATTGACCATTTGTCCCTTCTAAACAAACTTTTAAGTCGAAAGGAAGATCGGGTTAAAAAAGACAACCAATTTACAGGAAGCTCACATGGACTGGTCAATATCTAACCTACAATTTTTGTCTACTGAAATACAGGTGAGGTTTGATAAGAAGCCTCCTGAAAATATTTCAAAGAATCTACATTACAAATACTATTGAAGATCTAGAACTGCTGACTCAAAAAAAATTGATATCGAACAGGTATCTGTTGAAGTTCATATATCAGTTTAAAAGTGAATGAAAATTGGAACTCCTTATTAAGTTTTGTTTCAAAGAAAAACATTTACATTACTGTAAAAAACAAAAAAAATCAAAATTAGACATTGAGTAACCCTATTATTTTACTAAATCGATTATCATTAAAACACTACTCAACATTGTATAAATGCTTACATTATATCCCACTGCACTTACCAATGTGTGAGCATAAACACATAAGATGGATGCTGTAACGGGTGGATTGCACGGTTAGATGCGCAGCGTTTTAATCGACCAATCACAGTGACACGGAAAACACGCAGCGAACGACCTAGAGCCCTGATTGGTCTAGCCCGACCAGTTGAGTCTAGAACGCAAGTCACAGCCTCTGAGTTATGAATCGTTATATTTCAAACATACTCTGTTTATATACCAACCAAATAGGCCACATCGTACCATAAAAATAGAAAACAACATCTGTACAATATTTAACGAGTGAAATAAATAACGGCCAATAGGAAATGTTCATTTAAAGTCCAAGGACATCATTAGACTTAACATGATAATGATTGACACATTATACCTCAGCATCCATAACAATGGAGTGATCAACCAATCCATCCTGAGGTTATATGTTATGTATCTTAATACTTTCATAATTAGTTATTGTCAAATAATCTGATAAACATAGGTGATGTGAACAGGGAAACAAGAAGCCCTGACAAACTAAGAAAGCTATGTTTCGGGACGTTATTTCATTTTATGCAAAGCTTGTGAAACATAATCATTTATTTTTGCCTCTGATCTATTCTACGGAACATAATCTTTCGTTCGATGTATGATTCATTGCCATACCCTTTTCTGTTCCGAAGCTATTGTAATTTAAACGTAATCTTTTGCACCCTATTTTCTACTCTAATTCCCAGCTTTGGACATAATTGTACGTTGTGGCGGGTTAGTCACCTAATTATTCATGTAACTTTTTACACTAATCCTAAGATAATCAGGATATCGGGAATAGATCGAGTAGTGTTCTCGTTATCTTGTCTTCTCTCATTCGCGTGCTTGTCAGCCAATCAGGTGATAGAATAGTTTTCTTCTCTCTACCCCACTTCGAACTCACGCGTACTAGCCTCAAGTTAGGTCGATCAACCTATCGCGCCAAGGTCTTAATCTGGATTACAAAAGTAGCCTCAACACCAAAAGTGGATGGACAGCCCGAGGACATAACAATAGGGAATAAAAAAATCATTTTCCACGTTAGTAACACACGTAGTTGTAACAGATCATAAGATTGATTTTAAAACACCTTAAAAAATTGTTGTGTAGATACTGTTAAAGACATACAGTTTTGGGGATTAGAAACTCTTTTGTGTAAATATAAACAATTTGTTTTAACCTTGAATCTGCCCAATTGGTTGCCATTGATTTTCATTAACAAGTATCTGTAACCAGATTGGTCATAGATCGATTACAGATCAACTCCGTTTTCCCATTACATGAAGTAAATCTATATAAAGGGACAAGGTGTTTTATGCTGGGTTCTCTAAATAAGTTATTAATGAACCAGTTGTTAGCCAATTACTTTATCTAAATTTGAACTAATATTATGTGAAACGATCGCTTATCTTTTATCAAATTGTGCTATGAAATGTAAGTTTCCCCCTATAGAGAATATAAATAACGCAGGAGTTCAATGTGTTTTAAACCATGACAATGGGATGTCTTTGAATACAATCAATATCTGTAAGTAACTACTATTCGACCACATAGTGGAATCAGGTGTAGGATACTAATTAGACATTAGAAACATTCTATAAGGCTGTGAATCTTCGTAAACAGAAATAGTTGACAGATGTGTCACACATACTCAGCCACTGTCTCCGTGACGAGGGATCGTGGTTCACGTCGGATCGTAAGAATCAGAAAAGCTCAACCCAAAATATAAGACCAAAACAAAGTTACCTACTTACGCCTGTCTCTCTCAATGGAGCATGAGCCGCCGCATCAGACGATATACACTTATTGGTTGGAATTAATGCAATAATCACGATGTATGGTTAAAGACTTCTAGAACTGATTAGTGGCACGGACATAGGTAATCTTTATCTTACTCTTGTTACTATGCCGAGTCTAGTTTTTTTCTCTGAACAATAATTATTTCGATTTACGTGCCTTCGATCTAGTTAATCTTCTTCTTGAATATATAGATGAAATGATGGTGCATATTTAGGCCAAGTTTTACGTTGTGTATAATGTAAATACTGGCTAACTGATTCAAGACATACTTAAACGAGTCTTCTCATCTATACACCCAAACTACATTCCTGATAAATCTGTTACTGGAGCGCTTTATTATTATAACCTCAAACTACTTCTACACATTAACTCAAACAACAGAGAAAAGGAGGAATATATAAGTAAGAGAATCCGTTTATTTACAGAAAATCGAGGGTGTATATTAATATGTACGTAAATGTGATCTAGAACTTTTCGGGGACATGCTAAATATAGTAACCGTATGGTTAATTATCCTATCCGATGATCCTTCATCTTCTTAGATATTTTGAGGAAGTTTCTGCCTGACGCTAATTGGAGGAAAAGATCTGACAATTTCTGGGTATGTAGAGAGTTTGGAATTTCCAAAAAGTTCAACTCCTAGATATATTAGATATGAAACATTTATTGAGCTTCATTCTCTAAAATCTAAAGGTTCCATAACTGTCCTGAGACCTTTATCTATTGGGTAAATGCAATACCATTTCAATAATTTCCTTTCGTACTACAGCCCTAAAATGCCCTGGTATGACTGAGAGTCAGCTCTCTAGCTCTCCGAATGATCTCACATGCCCACGTGAATACAACGACTGACAGGGTAGTCCTACTCACTGCCTTCTCTCACCACGGGTGTTGTTTACGAATTTGAGAGAACGAAAAGCGAATGTTCGGCGCTTTAGCCGGGTCGTTGGACACAGAGAGTCAACCTAGGAGAGTTGGGAAACCCTGATTCCAAACCAATGGCTGGTCACTGGCTACCATGGGACTGCATCATCTGACGTTGCTCCACTGCTTTGTGGTTCAGAATTTTGTTCGAAGGCTCTGGGTGTAGCCCCCTAAGAAAACCACCCGCTTCAGTTTGGGCACCCGGGAAGTATTCCAACCCTCACACAAATTGAATGATGTATGTGGCGCATATCTATTTGGTGACTCCTTGTACCATTGTTTAAATGTTTAAATAAATAAATTTCGCACAACAAAACGAATCTAGTAATTCATTTAATACATGTAATATATGAGATCTCATTCAAAATGTATCCAGCCTCATCAGATGGTTTAATTATTAGTTTTTGTATCATAAAACCTTGATTATCTGATACAGACTAAGAGTTCTTGGTACCTTGTTTGTTCTTAGCTTTAAGCGATCTTTACTACATCTTCGACTATAACTAAATGATAATCATTCTCTAATTAACACTTAGAATTAGATCATTAAATTGTAATTCAATGTAAATGATGTTAGTAATCTATAATCATTATTATTGTTAAGAAAGAACACATGTATTCGCTTCGAAAATAAGCATACAAAGAGACTATACAAGAAGAAATCCATATAGAAATATGAGAAAACACACACATAATACAAAAAGGAAATATGCCTAATATAGTAGACAACAATTATGATCACCGGCTATTAGAAATGTCAATGAACACACATGTATACACACTTTAAAAGGTCATAGCAACATGTAGTACATTTAAATGAAAAGAAACTACACAAGATAATATTAAATGTAATAGAGTAAAGTGGATGAATTCACTTTGTAGAACTAACTACATAGTGAACATTAAACGAAAAGAAAAATGCAATAATGACAACATTTAAAGTGACAAAAAAATACACCAATATATAACCAACCAAGCAACCACCCACCCCCACCTACCTACCTCATCTTAACAATCACAATTCACGATGGTGATTGTAAAGAAGACAAAGAAAATAACTGAGGAAAAATAATCGAGGAACTATTATACAATAACAAATGATAAGACTTTCTTTTTTTTTAATGAATCAAATCTAGATAACACAAGAGATAATATAGATGATAAACAAACATAATCAATGTTTTAGTGCTTATTCTATAAATATGAAAATTCAAAGTTTCAATTTTATTCCTATTATACTTTACATGAGATTATAACAAGTTATAATGTAACTAGGAAAAGAAGGTTAATAACACTACTACTACTCAGTTGTTTAGATGGAATTAAGTAGTGTGAAGGTGTGACTTAGTGAATAAAAGTTGAATGTATTAAAAATAACCAGTGAGCCACCACTGTTCCACGATTCAAAAGAGAGAGAGAGAGAGAGAGAGAGAGAGAGAGAGAGAGAGAGAGAGAGAGAGAGGAAATCCAAGAAGTTTTTCAAGTGAATTATGTACATGAAGAGAAAAAGTTTGTATGTTCTTTTTTCTTCTTCTTCAAAGTTAGTGAAAATCTTTATTAGTTCTCTTAAGAAATCCCACTACATTCATATACCATGACATAATGTAGAGAGAAAAGCGAAGTAAATGAAACCCGGAAAAGAGACAAACCACAAGCAAATAAAAGGTTGAGTAAAATTTTCTTTTTTTTTTTTTAAAACAACAAAAAAACATACAAAGACACATACATGTGAGATCATACTGGACCTTGATGACGATGATGATTATTATTTAATTATACAATTTGTATTTGATGACCATTCGACGTTGAATCGATCAATTCAAATGCATTATTATTATTATTATTATTATTATTATTATTATTATTATTATTATTATTATTATTATTGATGTTAGTTGGATCAGAGGTAATTGTCTGATGTAATGCGAGTTCCATTTCCTTCTTTGTTTCTTCACCTTCGATATTTTGTTGTTTTTCTTTGTGTTTTGTCATTAAATCGAATTGACGTCTTTGAAATAAGTGAAACAAAGAGAAAGGAATGTGTGTATTGTATGAGAAGAGAACAACTAAATTATACATTAAAGTGATAATGATCACGATATTGTCACAACAGATCAAAATGAAAATATTATAACAACAGAATAAAATGAACCGTTTGAGAAGTTACACTAATTAATTGTCATCGGTTTTGTATAGTTTGGATTAAGTTTAATCGTATATTATTAGTTTAGGTGGTTTCTCTTATGATGTACACCGTAGTTTTGTTCTAAGTAATAAATCAAGGCGATTAACATGAAGCCCTCTTTGACCTAAGCTTAATAGTAAATGGGATATTTTAGTAAGATGCAACTGTGATCTTCACGTGAATTAAGCTGTCTATGATATTGAAGTCTATATCAATGTCACAATTAGAGATGTTAACACGAAGATAATCAAATTGTGATTGACAGGGAAATGTGGATTGTTTGTTAAACGATATTATAACTTTAAATCTCGATTCTAATTCCGCACACTAATTCATAACCCTCCTCAGACCCTAAGTAGAGTAGTTGAACATACTTAACGTCACTTTACTGCCGTTCAAAAAATCGTCCATAAATTATAGTATCACCGTTAAGATATCTTAATATTTATTAAAATTGTGTTACTCGTCCTTCATTTATATATTTTGCAAAAGGTTTGATACAACTAGTTACAAAAACAAATATAAATTATCAGTATGGGGGTTTGTGGAGATTTTAGTATTTTCACAGTTGAATTCATGAGTCGATCTAAGCTAGAAAACCCTTAAAAACTTGGAGACACTGGACTGATGTTTCGTCCCAGTACAGGGACTCCTCAGCAGTGCGCATCCACGATTCGAACGCAAGACCCTAAGTCTCGCGTGCGGACTTTAACTTCAATCGATCCATGATCTTGAGCAAGATCACGACGTTTTCCAAAGAAGCACGAAAAGCACTTATAGGATAGGAATCTGATGGACCTAGAATCACCAAACCATTCTTAAGACCAAAAGAGAGAATCACGATGAATTTTATCCAGGGCTATGCGCACACCAATGATGAAAACAAAGACGATAAAGACTAGTTTAATGAGAGGTTGCAGTAGAGATATGTTCAGGAAAGGGCCTGATCAACCTGATAGGAAACCTGAATGCCTAAATCCACATATACAGTACCTGGAATTCCTAAGCTTGCGTTCATTCCACAAATGGTAGTCATATGTCTCATTACTCCAGGTTTATCATTGATTAATTATTCCCCTATTGCTTCAGTTCCGTGTCACATGTGACTAAGTTATATACACTAACTGTATTGCTGCGTGGTCAAAATATGTCAAGTATATTATTGTATGAGCTTTGAGTCATGATTGAATTGAGTAAAATACAGTAGATCCGCTCTCTCTACCTTCGTCTTCCAATTGGCTACTGGGTTAGAAAGTGCTTGAAGACAAATAATCGTTAAGATCATGGCTGTTGTTCATTGATCGATGCGTCAATTAGTAAATAAAAGATTGCCGTTCCCACTAACAATATAGGTGAACTAATCGATAATCGAACTAGGAAGAGAGGGGGAAATCATACAACTGATTTCCTGTCATTACGGCCTAATATCTACCCGAACAAGCAATCTACATAGATAAAAACACAACAACAATGCTTACTTAGCTAACCACCAAGTAATTGTGGATCCAATCAAACTAATTATTTTCAATACACATACAGTACCAAGCCAAATAAATGGTAAACCTTCTAAATTATACTCTAAACATCCACCAGCTGTTGTAGAATACTTTTGATCTAAAGACATTGTAGTAGCAGTGGTTGTAGAAGACGACGAGTAGATTGATGACAGTGGAGATGATGATGGTGGTGAAAAAGACGAAGACGATGAGAATATGGATGAATTTGATAATGATGTTAATACATTTGTATTCATTAATAACGATTCATTATTATTTATTGGACTGGATGAATAGTGATCTATAGGATTTGAACGATATTGACAAGCTAAATCGAATAGTTGGCCGAAATACATCGGTGCCGGAATATATGCTAATCAAAGAAAAAAAATGAACAAAGAACATTGATTCACTGATTAAAAGGTGAACATTTCTATCCAACTGTCATTGAAAAAGAAAGAGAGAATAAGAATATTTTCTAGTAACCATTACTATAATACAATCGAGATCGAGATTAGGTTACCATTAGACTGGATACTCGATAGATACAATATACAGAGACTGGATAACGTTGTACCAGATACACTGTTCACGAACAAATATAAAGAAGACCAGAGAACACAACTCGGCAATAGTTTAATCAGTACAATTATAATCAGTTTACACTCAATAAGTCCCGAGTAGAAATTAAAGAAAGCATGAAAATCAAACGTAAAATAGTAAGTACACTGAGTATTTGCCTGTTCATATTCAGTAGAAAATTACATCTTAATTTTGTTATCCATATATTAGTTATTTGAAAAGATTTAGTATTTTACCAATTTTTGAAATGTTCAGGATTTCAACTAATCAGTCCCTTATGATGTTCGTGTATTTCGAACGTAGATTGGTTCAATATTGTCATTCAATTGTATATCATTGATTCCACTAACCACCATCCAATTTTACTGAAATTTGTGACTAAAAGGAATTATAGAATTAAATTTATATCGATTGTACAAGCTAGCAGTTATTTGGACTCAATAGCTCAGTGAATAATGTGTTAGCCATTTGAAATGAAAGGTGCTATGTTCCATTGTGAACAATGGGACAAAGGTAGTATATCCGGCTAATGAGTCCTCAATAGGACGAAACGCTCGTCTCGGATTCTACTGATAGCCAACTTTATTAAAACGTGTATTAACTGCTTTTTAGATTTAGAGTAGCATAAAACAAATTGAAAATAATGTTTTGATTTATTAACTGATGTATGTTAGAAGTGGATGTAGGTGAGTTCAGTACAAATTCTGCACGTGGTTTGGGTGTTCTGAATAATGTTAGTATGTCAATCAGTGAGTTGAAACAAATACTTCAGTTCAGAGCAGATTAATTTATTACCAGTCAGAACATATTGGAATTATTCCAAACAATTGACACAGTTACCAGTGTCAGTGATACATTTTGAGGAAAAAATTAAGAACAAATGGATGGTGAAGAGATGTTGCATAAAGTTTCAACGGACCAGCCCCAATTATTAACCCAAAAAGATGAAGTATTCAAATTTGACTTTTCTACCTATACAGCAAAGTTGTGTTTGAAAACAAACACCACCTAGACTTTACATTCAGTCGTAAAAGTAACAGACTACACCATTTTATTATTTATTTTAACGCATAGATATTGGTACAAGGAGGCAACAAATACATATGCGCCAGACATTCGCTTTTCGTAAACAACACCCCCTCCACGAGAAGGCAGTGAGTAGGACTTCCCTGGCAGAAGCTATATACGCGCGGCCATGTGAAAGCATTTCGAGAGGGAGAGCGGACTCTCCCCCACTCTCGGCCGTACCAGGGCATTTGGGGGCCCAGAGTGCATCAAGACAATGTTCAAATAATGTGACCTTGAAACCGCAACAGATCGATATCCCATTAAGTTTATATAAACCAATAGCTAAATCTCAGTAAAAACAAAATAACTTCTAACAATTTAATACTTCATAGAGTTTAGTGTATTTAGCATCAGAAACATAAGGAAACAGCCTAACACAGACTGTTTCACTGCTATGCGGAATTTGTACAAAAATCAAAAAGTATCCTACAACTATGCACCATATTACTTAGTCTAATGTTTATCACTATAAAAACAAATTTAATAAATTTTAAGAAAATGAAGAAAGAAGACATCATCCATGATAGATCATCTGTCAGTATCTCTTATACACATCGACCAGCAATAAAAGTTAGAAGTTGAAGTGGATATTTGAAGTCACAGCATATCATGACTAAATCAACTACCTATTTGAATAAAACAAACAAAGGAAAACCGAATTATAAAACAATATTGTTCGACAATTTTTTCTTACCTAATGTTCTGACAAAGAAAATCTGTAATCCAAGTGCAACAGAACTATCTTCTGATGAGACACAACTGTAAAGACAATTTACAAATTATATCTTTATTAATTTATTTTTATAAGATATAAATGAATAATGGTATTCATTTGAAAGAAAAAAAAGGATATTTCCAAAAGAATTAATCATAGCCATGTTGGATAAGTACAAATGATATTGATTTGAGGTTATTGTGATAATTACAATTAGTGGTTAAAGACATTGAATGATATGGCACAGATGTATTCACTGTTTATCTGAATGAAGATTTTCAGCTCCAGTATTCCCTTGTACATATTTTCTTTTTATTTAGTCTTTTCGGACGATGTTTGCTATGATTAATCTTTCTCATCATTATTACTACTTGATGATACCGATTCTATTAGTGTTTATCTTTATCTCATCATGATATTAAGGTATGGAAGCTTGAGTCAACACACATATCCGCCAGATTCTATGTCATTTATAACTAATAAAATAGAACTGTATATGTAGAAATCTTACCATTGAAGTTAAATGGTTATATCATACTTAGAACTGATGAAAATCGATGAAGTGAGGTCATCAATAGATGAAGAACACATAGTTCGGTTTATTGAAATCAAATATTATCGATTGTAGGTAACACATTTACAAACAATTGTATGTGAAGAGGAAGCAACATAAACACTGCCTATCATTTTAAAAAAATATCAAAGAAGTACATCAACTTAATCCAGTAGTGTACGAAAAGAGATCCTATACAAGTTAGAACTTCTGCTGAGATGAGTTATATATGATTGAATGTTTAAAACATATTTCTTAATCAGAAAGGGATTTTGTGGATATTATAGTAATTTTGGTAGTTGAATTCATGAGTCAATTGAAGCCAGACCACCATGGAAAATCTGTGCTTCCATGTTTTCCATGGTAGTATGGCTTTAATTGACTAATGAATTCAACTGTTATTATTTCTCCATTCTTAGACAACTTGAAAGTAGGTCAGTGATAGAAATGCAGTTGGCATACAAACGAGGCGAATCTATTGTCGTTTACCTAGGAACATTACCTTTTATGATTGAGGACAAGTAAAACACAGAAACAAGTTCTATCTATGAATAATTACTGATGCGAGCCGACAGATTGATATAAATGTAACACAAAGATATATACATTGAATTCCATATAATTTGACTTATATATTTGCTCTTGTGTGCAGTGGAAGCTATAACAATTCATTAATTCTTCGTATAAAAAGAAACATTTACACAGTTTATTTCTCTTCTCACGACATATCTAATTTCTCTGAGCTGGGGAACAAAAGACCAAAATCATTTACCTGAGCTACAAATCTTCTCCACCATTGGCATGAACTCTTGATATTCAAATGTCAAATAAGAAATTAGCGTTCATCAATTAATTAAGAAAAGAACATCATTTCGTTCCAAATTGTCTGAGTGTTAGGTCCGTTTGGGACTATATAAAAAATATTTATTCCCTCCCGATCTGACTTCCTTCCTCTTTATTAATTATGCTACTGATTAATAATCAGTAATCAATTACAATGCTAATAACTTTTGAACATTTCGAGAGAGAGAGAGAGCGGAATCTCCCCACTCTCGGCCGTACCAGGCCATTTGGTATTACATTGCGTGCAATACAAATGAATATTTTAACCTGGTAATTTACTTGTCAGGAGATCAATAACAAATCATGGAAGAATACTTCTGATAAACTTCAAAACAATCTAAACACGAAACAGTAGTTTAAGCTAAAATTCTTCAAACAAATATCGGTTACTCGATGTGTACTTGTAATTCAATCACATTTTGAGTGTAAGAGGCTAACACTAGTAATGATCAAAACATTTATGCATCCGCTTTACATATCATCAAGGCTTAGATGAAATCTTTCAAGAACAGTAATCATAAAACAAAGTAATATTGAAGGAAAAGTGTTAATTCATTTAACAGAAATTCTAACAAAAAACAATATTCAGTAGTCATCATCATTAATCCACTCACCTCAATGTGATTACATTACTTGGATTTTGTAACATACCAGTACAAAGAATATGTAAGAATAACATAGCTAGAAATAAACCATACAAAGTACACTTAGGTTTACATCGACCAGGATAAACTTCACCAGAATTATTTGCTAATAAGAATTCATTATTTATTCTCATTGACGATGATAATGACATTGGTATTGATGAGATCGAACCAGATGGATTAAGTGTAGATGGGGTTACACATTGACAATCAGAATATTTCTAGTTGAAAAAAGAGAAGAATATTTCTTGTGTTTTAAAAATGAAACTGAATGAAAGTTATACACTGAGAAAGAGATTTACAATGATTAACATTGTACAAGTCAATATATTTTCATAAGAATAGATTAGAAGAAAGTTAGACGTTGCCAAACCAAGGACTAGTCTGCGTCAACACCTGAACTAAGGATATGGAGTGAAGTAGTCGAACGCGTTGACAACTTCACTTATCTTGGAAGTCTGATCAGCCCTAATGGGTTGGTGTCTAACGAAATCTCAGCACGGATTCAAAAAGCTCGATTGGCTTTTGCCAACTTACGTCACCTTTGGCGAAGGCGAGATATCCGTCTATCAATAAAAGGACGAGTATACTGTACGGCAGTTCGTTCTGTTTTAATTTACGGCAGCGAAACATGGCCAATAAGAGTAGAAGACACTCGTAAGCTACTAGTATTTGACCACAGATGCCTCAGAAATATTGCTGGCGTCTGCTGGGATCACCGGGTAAGTAATAGTGAGGTTAGACGCAGGGTATTAGGGAATGATGGTAAATCAGTTGATGAGGTTGTGAATCTTCACCGACTGAGATGGTTGGGCCACGTGTTACGTATGCCCGAACACCGATTACCACGACGTGCAATGCTAACCGGTGCTGGAGATGGTTGGAAGAAAGTTAGGCGGGGCCAAACCAAAACGTGGCATCAGTGCTTGAAGTCACTAACTTCTAGTCTGAGCCATGTTGGTAGATGCATACTACTTGGTTGGGGTCCGCGTGACTTTCGTAACCAATGGTTGGAGACTCTTGGTGACATGGCTCAGAATCGGTCACAATGGCGTCGGTGTATACATTCTCTATCTTCCCTTAAACTAAGAGATTAAAATCGCTGCATACCTTTCTTTCTACAAACTAATTCTTTCTTCCTATACTATATCCTTATTGCAGTCTTTCTATTATATATTACCATCTCTGAATTAACTACTTTTATGAATCCGGTGTTCATCTTGTTGTGTTAATGAGGTATGGTAACTTGGACCGATGCATATATGTGTCTGGTCCTACGTTGTAGCTGACTGACTGCCAAACCAAGACAAAGTATCAGTCCATGTTGTAAGTAGCTACTGAAATGGTTCGTGTTGATAAACGCAGATTACTTGATCAGAGTCAGCGAGATGATCTCTAATCTATAGTTGAAGTTGCTAGGTAACACTGGCTCAGAATAAAAACCACAATGTTGTGTAGAGCAATTCACTTAGATCATGAGTTTTAAAATTATCATATACCTTTAATTCTGCGAATTTATCCTTTCTTCTCTGATCATAATATGCATAAAAACTTTTCCACTACTAGTGATACTGTTACTGATTCTATTACTCTGAAATTTGACTTGACATTTTGATCATTTGGTGTAGTATGATAACTTGAACAAATGAATATGTATGTGGAGTTCTACATTGTTTATGGTTGACTGATGTAGTGTACAAGACAATGTGTATATTGACTTAATGTTACATAAATCAAGAAACAGAATTTCTCAAATCATGTATCCCAAACCAATTACAATTAGGAAGTATTCATTATTGAATAATAGATTTACGGTAGTAATTAAGGAATGAAGGAAGCTACGCACAGTTAAATAGGTAAATAAACAGACAACTAATAAACAACATTAAAACAATTAGTAATTACTGTAATACATATGATTATTTCGATCAATCAAAATAAATGATCTAACCGATTGGAATTATACAAAATAGACGATACGCTTCATGCTTCACATAATGAGAATTATAAATAATTCTAAAATGGTTCTATCTGAATGACTCTAAAATCGTTAATATGCTAGTATAGTGGACGCTACTTACAAGATTGTTTTTAAGTAGTGTGTAGAGGAATGTGGCGTTGAAGTTACAGCAATTGTCAGACAGAGTGAAGAGTTTCAGAACATTGAAAACACGGAGTTGGAGATCAGACGAGAATACGAGTCAGACTGCAGAACACACCGAAAGGTTTAAATGGAAGACTGAAGGCTATGTATTTGTATTATGTAAATAGTTCGTAACTTCTCACAATAAATATACATTACTCCGGCCTACTGTGCTTTACGCTAGTTGAGTACACTAACTGGAAAACATACAAATTTAATGTAGAACAAGCAGAGCAGAGAATTTATGCATTTGATACGAATTATTAATTGTTAGTCCTTAACCTAAATTCCAGGCAGTTCAGCAGTATATATTAGTGTAGCAATATTGAAGTTCAAACTGGAACTGGAAACCATTGTTTATTGCTTTAGGTAAATCTAGTCGATGAATTCTTAGTAGGATGAAACGTTTCCCAGATTATATTACTAGTTATCATTCAAAAACATTGTCAAACTCATAAATACATCTAATATCTAAACATCCGCTTAATGAGTGCAAATATCAACAAAAACTAGTCAAAATCTAGTCCAGTACATTAACAGCAGGAAAATACAAACACTTTTATCAATCATAAAATGCTGTGGAATATCGAAATAAGAAAGACTGGTAAAGTGAAGAGTTCTCTTTACGGTGAATTTATTCAATCTTAGTATTGTGCCAAACCTATGTCGTTCGACTGGTATGAGCAGCCAAGCGTCCTTATTGTTCTTTTGTTCACCTAGCCCGTCTAGTTGAGTCCAGAACACCAATAACAGTTTCCACTAAGCGAATCATTTATTTCAAAAATACTTGGTTTATATACCAGACAAACAGACTGCATCACACCATAAAATAGGAAATAACATTTATGCAAGATCAAGCCAAAAAGCGGCCAACTGAAACAAACTTCTAGTACAGTTGGTTGGTGGTCAGCAGTGAAATTCACGACTGGTGTTTCGTTTTGTTTGAGACTCATCAGCTGGACATAAGTGGGTTCTCATGTTGCTGCTCATAATGGGTTTTCAATTCATTACTCTAACATCAAATGCCCAAAGTGTTATTCACTGAACTACAAAGTCTAAATAGCCACTAACCTGTCCAACGAATAGAAATTTAATCTGTAAAGTTTTGTATATTGTTTCTGGATCGTAATGAGAGCTACTACTGTCTAAAATTACTTTTTACTTAATGGCAATATCGAGTCTGTTTGCAATCAGGATGCATAGATTTCAAAAGACTAATCAATTGAAGTTTTTAATGTCAACAAATGGAAGATATAATTTATTTTCAAATTGGAACCGACTTTATTTAATCTTTCAATCATTACATAAATAAAATATAAATTACTTCAATTTCTATCTACTGACATCAAGACTGTGGAATATCAAGAACTAAAAACGATTGTGAAACATAAATTATTTAACATACGGAGAAATGATCCATTTAGATCCATAAAAATTATACAACATGGAAGACCAATACATAGAAAGAATACATAAAAAACAACACATACCTTTACAACTCCAGCTTCTAAAACACGTGTTCTGCATCCGGCAAAACAAGGATTGAAAAATGTCAATGATTTCCTATCACAGTCATCAATATTGTCATTTGGACTACCAAGATTATTATCACCATTAATAATATCACTACTAGTACAAGTTATTTGATTATTTGTCTTCTTTTTGATACTACTATCACTATTAGTAGTAGTAGTAGTAGTAGTAGTAGAGAAAGAAGAAGAAGAAGAAGAAGAGGTAGCGGTCCAACACACTGGATTATAATGATTTACTGAACATTGTGATTCAGTGTAATGTGTATAATGACGATTATCAAACTTTTTTATTCGATTATTAGATGAATAACAAAATTGATTACATGGTGCTGTTAAATTAGATGGTATTAAAAAACCTGGACCATTTTTCCAAGGCCAACTAAACAGTAACAAGAATAAAATTATAAAATAATATTATACACTTTAGATATATGTAAAAATTATTCAATTAATAGTTTACACCACGAACTTACTTTAATTAGATAATTGTTGTCCGGTTTAGGTGATGAATTGAATTATGGACATTGTTGTATTCAGTCAGTCAGTCAGCTACAACGTAGGACCAGACACATATATGCATCGGTCCAAGTTACCATACCTCATTAACACAACAAGATGGACACCGGATTCATAAAAGTAGTTAATTCAGAGGTGGTAATATATAATAGAAAGACTGCAATAAGGATATAGTATAGGAAGAAAGAATTAGTTTGTAGAAAGAAAGGTATGAAGTGATTTTAATCTCACAGTTTAAGGGAAGATAGAGAGTGTATACACCGACGTCATTGTGACCGATTCTGAGCCATGTCACCAAGAGTCTCCAACCATTGGTTACGAAAGTCACGCGGACCCCAACCAAGTAGTATGCATCTACCAACATGGCTCAGACTAGAAGTTAGTGACTTCAAGCACTGATGCCACGTTTTGGTTTGGCCCCGCCTAACTTTCTTTCAACCATCTCCAGCACCGGTGTTCGGGCATACGTAACACGTGGCCCAACCATCTCAGTTCCACAATGAAAATCATGCTCAAAGGGAGCATAAACATATGTGTGTATAAATCCCAGTATTGAATAGAGATATATTATCGTTGTAACTAATAATAACATCATGTGTAAATTCATACTGTTGGATATGAGCCACATTGTGTATGACGGCCAGTGGCAATAGCTGATTGCTAAACTAGATGAAATGAGACTCGAATCAGCGACTGATCACAAGTTGAATAGATCACACTGTAGTGAACAAGAACACCGGTGGGGACAATCGGATGTGTTTGAGCACAAAATTACAGAACATCTCAATAAAATCCGAGAACCATATAGTAAATCGTTAATTTGCAAAATGTCAATCCATCATATCAAACTTGACTGTTCAATCTATTGTATCAGATTTCATTGTTCATGCGTTTTCATACCAATTGCGTTCCGATCCCGTCCTTTCCACATCGACCTTCTATACCTGACTACCGTAACATACTACTTGTGTGGATATAAGTAGCCCACACCACAACACTAATAACTAACCGTTCCAAAATAATAACCAAAAGAAAACCTATCCATTAACACTTCAATCAAATATATGAATTAACTATTCAGAGAAAAGATTAAACTTTAAACTAATAAAACAGTAGGATATAATTTAATCTTCCGTTAAAACAAGAGGGTTAGTAAATTAAAATGAAAGATATCATTTTGAACAAGCTATTAGAAGCTATATCTATTAGAAGAAATGTCATTTTAAGGTCAGTCAATGTGATATAGAGCTGTTACATAGAGAAATATCATTTTTGTATATATATATATATGCGGTTGAATTCCATTCCATCCGATTAAACTTCATCAGATAAAAACAAGCGTTAATCTCTATAGGATATAATATACAATTTTCAACATGTCAAATTGACCTCCTTCTTATTTTAATGTAGAAAAGGGAATGAAAAACACGAAGAAATTAATTTTTTTTCTTCTTCTTAGATAATTAAGATCTACAGAGCAGAATTAATACTTATAAACGAGAAAAAAAAGGGAGAAAGAAATGGTTACAATTTATTGAGTGAATCACCAACACAGGGAATAGAATAAAGGATCTCCAATCTCACTTGCATGCACATCTAATGGTGCGCACATATTAAATTTTAATCGATTCACGACGCCGTAAAGTGAATTATGGTTACCAATGATGGTCTAGCTAAGATCAGTTCATGATGTGAACTATGAAAATTCAACAGTCTGCAGTAAACCCTTGTACTAAAAGGATTTTTGTAAAAAGTTAAAAATAACACAGCACAATGTAAATATGATTTTTTTTCTTCTTCTTCTGGAAGCATAAAAATTCTGCCAAGAAAAATACATAAATGTTGAGTAACTGTGATATAAAATAAGATTATTATTTAGACTACTTAATTCTAATTATAAACCAGTGTGAAGAAATGTTAAAACTTTGAAAGCTATACATACATACTAACACCTCAGGCAGAATGAAGGCATACAACCACCTCTCTCCACTGTTTCATTCAAGCAGTGGGGTTAGGCAGGGTTGTTCAATGTCACCATTCCATATCGCGCATTATTTGGTGATGTTTGGACTGATTGGAAAAAGCACAGAGGTGGTCAGCGTATGACAGTGTCATAGTATTAAAGAACTATACACAAGACTGGTATCTGTAGGTCCTTAACTATTCCCTAGTTGGAATCTAAAAGGTAGTGAAACAGATGGGTTTGAAACGTTACCAGACATTACTCTGAATACAGAAGCCAGTGAAGATCCTGCTATAACTTTGTTTTACTTTCGTTATGTAAATGAAAGGATCTTTTTAACCGAAAGAATCCTTTCTTAACTGAACTGCTTCTCCCATTATTATTATTTTGCTCCCATACACTTATTTTCACTCAATTTATTGTCTCTTTTTTATTTTACTCACCTACCTTTATCTTTTCACAATCTCATTTTTATTGTGTGGCGAGTATATGTTTTGACTTATTTTAGTACCAATGTTTATGTGTTTAAATAAATAATTGTGTGCAACCTGAATATATATTAACCAAATCTGTGCTAAGATCCTATAAACTCTTCATCCTGACTCCTAACTATTGAGAAGACAAAAGAATTCAAGAGTTTTATTAACAATCCAACAAAATGAAATACAGAGAAAACGCATAGTTATTTATGAAATTTCTAGGGTGTCGATTAAAGATTCTACCTTCATAGAGCCAAATTCTGACTAATTAAGATTGCATTTTTTCTCCAAATCTCTATCAGCAACTGAATTCAATCAGTCAAAAATAACGTCGGAACTTGGCTCAAGTTTATATTAGTCCAATTCAACACTACATCAGCATAGCAAAATGAAATTAAGGTCAATATCATAGAATTGGTACATTATTAGTGATAATATGAAGATGATTTGAGTAGAAAAGGCTATATTTTATAAGAATAAATGAAAATAGAGCAGATTGCTGAATAGTATATTCAAGAACGGGTGTACCAAAAAATACAGCTCGAAAGGTAAAGTTGATCACAACCACACCAAGGTAGAAGTTACATTATGATGTCAACGGAATCAATAATAAATGATTGCAGTTTATGAATAAATAAAGATTTTTACAAAGGGTTCATTGATATGAATAGACCGACAACAAACATAAATCAATGATACATAGTGTTTTATTTCAGCTGACCTAAAAAATTCAACACATCACGTATCATACTACGCACACACCCGTACAAATATCATGTCATTCATGTTGTCTTATAGTGATCGGTCAGCAGATTTTTCTTTCTAATGAATTATTCTAGTATTTCACTATCCCATACAATGTATGTGTAAATGACAGTTAAACCTTTAAATTCATTGAATTAATGAGAAATGATTGTTATGTCAAAAAACGGAAATCAATTTCTACCAACTCAAAAACATTTGAATATAATTGTTAAAAAAATTCATTTGTAACTATGTAAACAACAATGAACTAGAAGTGTTCGCGCACGAGACCGAAGATTCTAGGTTCGAATCCTGTGTGCGGGATCGTGGATGAGCACTGTTGATGGATCCCATACTGGGACAAAACGGTTGTCCAGTGCTTCCAGGTTTTCAACGGTGGTCTAACATTGATCGATTAATTAATTCAATGAAAACCCAACAGTCTCCATTACCCTATACTGATAATAAACTTTATTGTTAACACATTGAGGCAATTGATGCTATGATAACAATATTTGTGAAGTAATATAGCAGTTATGGAGTTGAAATACTAAAATTTTCTTAACAATTAAAGTTATAGTCAACGTTTCAGTGCTCAATAAGTGTGATGAAGAGTTAGTAATGAAGAGTTAGCATTAAGGACTGAAACTAAATGACAACAAGTTATTAAATGATATGTTTATAGAAAAAAAGTAACATTTAACGATATAGAAATGGAAGAGAAGACAGAACTTTCATGGAAACAATAGTATATTGAGAATTTTATGGATACACAGATACATACATGGCACAAAAAGAAAGAAATTTTGACTTACTTTTCTCCGTTATATGTAGCTGTTATACCTGCTACTCGACTAGATTGACAACCAATTGACATTAGACTAATACTCGTTATAACAGTCAATGAAATCATAATACATAAACCAGATAAGGTACGATGTAATGTAGGTCGAAAATGACGCATTAGTAAAGCACCAGACAGAACACCTAATAATGAACTTGGAACTATCACAGCACCTATAATTTAGAAGAAAACAAATAGATGATGATAAATAGGGAGAACATTACAATAAGAAATGTCATTTAAGAAATAGAGGGAAAAAGAAAAAAAAGATCAATATTGATTGACGATGGGAATTCGATTACACATGTATAAAGATGGTTGAAAACCATGACCCAACATTATAATGGTTTTGAATTTAAAAAGTGTAAAATATAACCCACATGACGTAATTAGTTTAGAATGAAGTTAGTAGACAATAGACACAAGGAAGCTGTTATCTTCATTACTCAAATGTGAAATGGATAAAGTTACTTCTTTACTTACTTACATTGAAAAGTTTTTTTAATGGTTAGAGCTGAGAAATAATCTAATAGTAACCCAATATGCACATTATTCAAACGGAAAACTTCGGATTATAACCGTAAAAATTCTAAGACTGTAAAAAGAAATCGATAACAGATCACAACCTTATCACATTGTGATGGGTAGAATGAAGACATTGGTATCAGAAAATATCTTAAAAAAGTATCAGTAAATATTAATAATAGATTATAAATTAATTACTACTGTTGTTAATATTACAGTAAAATGTCGCATGTTGAGAAATTTCTTAATGAGAACATTATCGATTGTCAAAATAATATCAGTGTTTTCAAGTTTTCAATGATCAGTAAGTGGTGCAAGATATAAAATTTAACAATTTCCACAAACACCTTACATTCGTAATGATTTTACAACTCACTTTGTTAATCTTATCTCGATGTGCTATTGGAAACTTGAGCCAACGTACATCTTTGCCACAACATAAGTTAACTATTTAGTTAAACACAAACATTGGTACAAGGAGGCACCAAATATATATATTCCACACATTGTCATTAGATTTGTGTGAGAGCTGGAATACTGTCCGGGTGTCCAAACCGAGGCAAGTGATTTTCTCAGGTCACTCGCGGAAACTTTAATCTGGAGGTCTAATACATAAGGCTGTGGAGCAACATCAGGAGATGAAGTCCCATGGCAACTAGTGACCAACAATAGGTTCATGTGCCATTTGTTCCCTAAGGGTCCTTGAGCCCATGTGCATAATTGGTTTGGAATTATGGTTTTCCAATTCCACTAGGTGGGTCATCCATATCCACCAAACCGATTAAGGCGTCGGACATTCGTTTTTCGTCCTCTCAATTTCATAAACACCACCGCCACGAGAAGGCAGTGTATAAAACTTCCTTGTCAATGGATGTATACACGTGACCATGTAAGAGCATTTCGAGAGGGAGAGCTAACTCCTCCCACCCTGAGCCATAACAGAGCATTTGGTGGCCAATACGTTGATAACAACTTACTGATTACCCACCCCTGTCAGTCTCATAATTCCATTTTCTATACATTTAATTATAATTAATTCATTTGACCATATTATATTATTCAATTAAATAAGCTTACATCATTATAATTATCATTACTATTATGATCATTTTCAGACAGTGATCACTGTGATGGCAATAACTCGTATTCATATATCATGTTTATTCACATGATATACGACAGCGAAAAAAAGTAGTGATAAAAATAAATTTATATGAGTTTGTGCAGTAAAACAATTACATGTTTTTTGGATTTTATGTTTTTAGTAACCAAAGGAGTATGTACCTGTAAATCAAACAATATAGAAGTACAAGTCTATTCTAATACAATATCTACTTAATAATATGTTTATAGAATGTACAGAGACTACTACTACTACTAGACATAAAATGACAAATACAAATAATTTTAATAGGCAGTGAAGGAATGTTGAAATATGACGTTTTAATGAATATTTAGAAGAAAAAAAAACATTTTAGATGTTTCGACCAAATCCATAGTATATTAATGTTGACATAAAATCTTTGGCAAAGTAGACAAGGTAATTTAATCAAGAACCGCATAATAATAATAATAATAATAATAATAATAATAATAATAATAGTAATGATAAGAATAAATTTTATTGGATACAATATCGAATAGGAAATAGACTTGTAGTAGTAGTAGTAGTAGTAGTACATAAAATAAAGTAGTCTATTATATGTGATGATGTATGAGGAGGTTATGTCTGTCTACATTCAAGAGCTAACAATAATTTGACTGGAAATATAATTGTAAGTTTAAGTCATATAAATCAATGAACTTCTTGGGTTACGTTGTACTGGTAGAAATAAAAAAAGTAAACACTATGATGTATAAAAGATACTGGATATGAATAATAATCTGAATGTCAACACTGGGATGTGGCAGGTACATATTCAGTTGATGAAGCATAGATTTTAGACCCTATCGCTGAAAACCATTCATCTATTCTCAGTCAATCAGTCAGCTACAACGTAGAACCAGACACATATATGCATCTGTCCAAGTTGCCACAAGTCATTAGCACAGCAAGATAATCACCGAATTCATCGAAGTAGTTACTTCAATGGTAGTAATATATAAAAGAAAGATCGTATATATATATATATATATATATATATATATATATGTCGTTTCAATCGTGACGTGTAAGAAATTGTTTTCCAAGTTTGTTGAAAAATAATCCGTTAAGATTTTATTGTTCCTTTAAGAATTAATTTACGTAAAAAAAACGGATTAGCGATGTTTTCAAAAGTACAATTTGCTGACAAATCTGGTGACCAATGTCATATTTGTCTAGTTTTTTTAGCGCTGATCGAGTTCTATTGATCAATAAAAGATTTTTTTACTATTCACCGATCATTTGATTGTAAATATTTCAATCATATAAAAAAGGTTAGAAGCGAGCCCAACAGTTTAGTCTTAACATTCCAGATATTCAGGTTAAGTGATGCGAATTCGGATCCACCAATGAGCATTGGTCCCCTCAACATCACAAATACACATTGTTGACAAGTGACAAATATCAGAAAACATATATACAGTTATTAATTTTATTTCAACCGATCCTGTAAAACTATAATCTACTGATGATTTTGAGAGACCATTACATATAAAGCTTATTTTTAGTTATTAAGAATCCGATTGATATGTAATAACCAAGAACAAAGTTGATGAATACTTTGAAGATCCAAATGGATGAATATTTTTATGATGATTTCTTTGATTTCAAATATCAGGAACCAGAAATTATAATCCCTATTCTTATGCTTTCTCATATTTTCATACATGTTATCAACTATGTATCATATCGTTTACTGAGTTATAAAAATAATGCAAGCTATCTGTCATTGCGTTATAATTTTCGAGCTAAATTCCGAATGGTCCTATCTTACATCGGATTAGTTCATCCGGATAGTATACTTTTAACACTAACTTAACACATTATTGTTGAAAAAGCATGGAATCGCTTCATCGGTTATCTGGAGACTCACTAAGTCAGTGAACAACTTGTTGGGGGGGGGCATAAAATGAAAAGTATTGGATTTGAGTCTTAATGTGAACATCCAAAAGCTAGGATTTAGGTATAACCAACTAAAGACGAAATATACATTCCCTTGATTTTACAACTAGCTACAATCAATCTATATGAAAAGTGTATTGTTCTACTTTCAATTTTGATTAGATTGCATTACTTCTAATGAATCACTTAAACATGAATTACCATCTTTATTATTATAATGTCACATTAATTCTGTTTAGATTACATCATATTTACGGATTAACTTCTGAATAATCTAATTTCTATAATGTTTTACAATTAAACTTAATCTATAAAATGTTAATACAATGTAGGAGATTTATGTTGGTGATTAAATTTTCATTGTTTACACATCATGAACATCTCTGTAACTTAGTTTAAACTATGGTTGTTTAGCTAAGTAAGTTTAATTGATGGTGTGAACTATGAACATAGAATTTCAATGTTTATAAAAAAAATAAATGTTTACAAACAGTCACTGATTAGAAATTGATTTGATTTATATTAGTGGACAATAGAGCAAAAGTGGGAGTAAAAAAACAGTGTATATTAATAAGAAATTGTTATTATTATTATTTAAACACATGGAAATTGGTACAAGAAGGCAACAAGTAGATATGCGCTACATAAATCATTTGATTTGTGTGCGGGCTGTGATACTGCTCGGGTGCCCAGACCGAAACAGGTGGTTTTCGTAGGGGGCCACACCCCGAACCTTTGACCTAAAGATCTGACCCACAAGGCAGTGGAGCATCGTGAGGAGATGCAGTCCCATGGAAGCCGGTGACCAACATTTGGTTCATACGCCATTTTTTCCCGCAGGATACTGGATCCCATGTGCACCATTGGTTTGGAATCCGGTTAAAGCGCCGGACATTCGCTTTTCGTCCTCTCATTTTCGTAAACAACACCACCGTCACGAGAAGGCAGTGAGTAGGACTTCCATGGCAGAGGCTATATACGCGTGGCTATGTGAGAGCATTTCGAGAGGGATGGCGGGCCCACCCCACTCTCGGCCGTACCAGGGCGTTTGGGGGCAACAATTAAAAAGATGAGATATACTGTTTAAACTTCCCTATTATAGAACTTCATAGTAGTTATTAAACAGGCTATCTAGATTCTTGTTTGACTGTTTGAAATAGAAATGCGAGATAACATAATTAAGCTAATAAAAGTAGTGATTTGTAGACAAGTTAGAAAAATTACCGTATTGATTGAAAGTACGCTGTTCATAGGACGTTTAAAAAAACTACATTTTTTAAAATTTGATCATAGAGGGACAAAGTGCAAATTAAACATATTTAGTAACCTTAAGAATTTTTAATTTCCCCTTGCTGTTCATCTTTGCCGATAGTCGACCTTATTTATAGATATCACAGAAACTGATACATATATATGTAGGCTAATCCAAAGCTTGATACTGACTTTAAAGCCAAATCCTAAATTCTTCAATTACTTCTAGACCTGAGCGTCGAATAGTGAGGAAAAGTAATGAAAGCATTGTTACAAGATTAATTTACGTACAGAAAAAGATCTTACTTATAGTTTTACAAACCTATAGGTTTCTAGAAATGCACTAAACTT